GCCTTCAGTGTGTTTCCCCAAGTGCAGATCTTCCCTGCCCAAGGAGGCCTCAGGGTCTTAACAGACCTTGCTTTGGTTCTAGCATGGCAGCAAGTAACCATGAGGGTAACACCTGGCCTATGGAAGGTAGTCCATTTTCCCCACAGCTGTAGCCTTAGCAAGGAGCCCTGAAGTGGGTTCACAGTGAGCTTGGTGTCTGAGATTCTGGAGGTCACTCAAGGATGCAGAGGTTTTCCCACGAAGAACTTCTCACCAGGGAATGTTATCGTGGGGTTTTGTCCAGGAGTACAAACCTATCTGGCCTGGCAGGCTTGTCCATTGAGAGAAAAAATGAGTTCTTATTCCCATCCTGGACCTTTTGTTTTGTTAAATATTTATAGGCCACTTTCCCAGCCTCCCTCCCCCACAAAACACCAGTTTATCAAAAATGCCCTTGTGAATAGAAACCTGCATGTGACCCGAGTGTTGCAGTGGGCTGTCCCATGTACACATAGTGACACAGTGAGTATTTCCTGTGAACAGGGAACCTTCCGGGTCCCACCATTGTTGTTCAACCTTTGCCTGGAAAAAAACAAAAATTATTTACTAGGGATGGTGTTGTGTTTGTTTAGGGCTTTGCTGGGAATTGCCTGGCTGAGGCATCCCAGGGATATGGTGCTGGCAGCCAAAGAGTGTTGGGGGTGGCAGTGCCTCTTGCTCACCCTGGGCAGCACTGGAGATCTGTGACAGAACAGAGGGTTGTCGCCTGATTAGCACCTCGGTAGGCCTCATATAGGTAGCTAAAACAGGGCATTATTTTTCTTGGGGGCCAGAGTCTGGAGTCTAAAATAGGTTTCTGGATAGATTGGGGTAACAAAAAACAGCTGTAAAGCCCCTACTGTTCCTATTTAAGTCCCTGTGCTTGTATCCTTGGCCCCTGTCTTTGGTTTGCACAGCAATCTATAGCTAATGCTGCCACCCTTCTATCCTCCATAGCTGAGCTCATGACTGCCTAGCCATGTTTTCCACTCCAGTAGGGTTCTGAATTCCTCCAGCACACAGTGCTGTACCTGGTATATCTCCAGGCCCACTAGCAATCAGTCATCACCCTGTGCCTATTTGCATCATGTGGAAGTCTCACTCAAGTTCATACCTCTTGCAGGAGAGAACTTGGGGTGGGGTACAGTTGTGGCTGGTCAGTGTCCTGTCCCAGTTACTGAAGAATACAGCAGTGTCAACTAAGTGGCCAGCTGTGACATTCCTAAAGAACACAGCAAAAGCTGCCAGGACTTGAGGCCAAAGTGTGGAACTTAACATCGTAGTTAACATTCCTACCTCAGTGATGTTGGATGGTTGGCTGATTGGCCACAGAAGATGCAGACACAACAGTATGGAGAGGCACAACCATTCAGTTTCTTCAAGGGTGTCCTGGTTGATTTTTTTTTTTTGGGGGGGTGGGGTGATGGAAATCATCTTGATCAAAGCTGGAGTTATCTGGGAAGAGGAACCTCAATTGAGAAAATGCCTCCATCATACTGACCAGTAGACAAGTTTTCTGTTTTATGATTGACATAACCCAGCCCATTATGGATACTGTCACCGCTATATAAGTGGTCCTAAGTTGTATAAAAAAACAGGATGAGCAATCCAGTAAACAGAATTCCTCTGTGGCCTCCATATCAGTTCCTATCTCCAGGTTCCTGCATGACTTCCCTCAGTGCTGGACTGTGATCTGAGAATTATAAGATGAAATAAACTCTTTCCTCCCCAAGTTTCTTTTGATCATGATGTTCATCAGAGCAATGGAAAACAAAATGCTAGAGTTGAGATTGACAGCTTGTAGGCCAGTGCTCATCTCTGCCCTTAGATCCAGTGAGTGAGCAGCCCTAGACCCCAACAGATAGACTAACTGCATAAAACTTACTGACAAACATTGAAGCTTGAATTTTGTATGTGTCTAAATGTTTTGCCTGCATATATGTCTGTGTACCACATGCATGCATGGTGTTCATGGTCTCAGATCCCCTGGGCCTGGAGTTACAGATAGTTTGAGCTGTCATGTAGATTTGGGGTCCTGGAAGAGCAGCCAGTGCTCTTCACCACTAAGCCAACTCTCCAGCCCACCATAAGCTTTTTGTGTCAGAAAGGATTACAGCCATCTTTTTTTTTTTTTTTTTTTTTTTTTTAAGATGTATGTGGAAGGCCACAGGATCTTGGGCAGCAGAGTTTGCTCCCTGGTTCTGGAACCATAGCTGTTGGGCTGTGATGGCCACAGCTGTCATTTCTTGTAGAAGTAGTGACAGCTAGTCCAGTGTCTCCTTGGAATGCTTCTGTCTCCATTCCTGGGCAGTCTTTTGCTGTCCATGCCCACCTGAGGAGCCAGTCCTGCTCACTGACTCTCATTAGCTCATTAGTATCAGTGTATGGCCTCATTCAGTAGCCAGCTCTTGGCTGCTTCAAAGGCCATTTGAGTGTAGCAGGGCCTGTTGTTCTACACCATGTGTGTTTTTCCTGCAGCTCACAGATGGATGTAGCACAGGATAGCTATGAATGTAGCCCAACGTATTATACATGATGGTCTTAATGTTAAAATATCAAAAAGTTGAACCCCTTGCTCTAGAGCCTGCCTTAGAGCCTGTGTTGTCTGTCCATCCATGTTATGTGAAAGCATCTACTGTTCAGTTCTAGTCTGTGGAGTACTGTAGTATACTACTGATCTGTATCTACTCTAGAGATGGGAAGCATTCTCCCACCTGTGTGCTCAGATGAATGTGCCTTTCTCCCTGCCTGGGGTACTTCTACCCCTTTGCTAGGTGCTGCAGACTTTCTGAACCTATCAGTCATCTGTGACTCCTGTCTACCTGTGTGTGTAACCTGCTAGTGTGGCTTTGCTAAGGTGTATGTTCCTGAGGGCTGATGGCCTAAGCCTATTGATGCCAGAGTGGTGGAGCCACAGGTTCCATTGATCTTGGCACTTTCACATCACTGGGAGAGTCTGGTCTGTGGGAATTTGCTGTCTTAAACAAGTTTGATAGTAGGATTATACTGCTGGGCCTAGCCAGTGAGGGCACTTGGGTTAAGGGTGTCTGCTGAGAGACAGGCTGGCCACAGGCTGTTGGACTGTAGACTGTACAACAACAACAGCACAATATCAGTTCCGAAGAGGGACTGTGTGGGAGGAGAGAGGGCCTGGCCCACATGGGCCTTGTCTCACAGCTTGATTGAGTCAGGAAACCTCTATATGTCCTGACTGGCTCTTGACTAGAAAAGGGCAAGGGGACTTGTTGGCCCCAGTGTCTTCATGGAGCTACAAACTTACTGGGATAAACTCAGGGCCTCTGGTTCTGTATAGTATGGAACCCTGTGCTAAGGGTGGGTAGGCACTGTGGGCAGCAGAAAGTGGTGGTACGTGAATGGACAGTCCTTCCCCCATTCCCCAGGGGTTTGGACAGTTACAGCAAGACAGTTGCCCCAGGCAGAAAAGGACAAGCCTGCTAAGGTGCTGCCAGGTCCGTGTAGACGCCCCATGACTACAAGACTGAATTGGGCTCCTTGTTTACTTTTGAGTTGATGGTGTGGCTAATGGGAGGCTCAGTGTGCTTCCCCCTTCTCTGAACCTCAGACTGCCTTGTTCACTTTTGGTTGTTTTGAGTGCGGGTTTTGCTGAGAGACAGGATACATTACATGGGCCTTACTGAAATGAAGGCAGGCAAGGGCAGAATGGCCAGGAACAGCCAGGGCGCCTTGAGTGCCTTGCCTAGTAAGGCTGAAGAGCCCATACCATTAGAGCCCCACCTGGCTTGTCTGGGGGAACTTACTGGGTAGAGACTCTAGTTCCCCGATTCTTGTCTGTCTGTTCTGCTGACTTGGGATGGGAACAGATCTAGCCTTCCTGTGGCCAGGAGTGGCTGCAGAGGTCAGAACACACACCTTAGACCCTGGCGGAGTGCCCTGGTACCTAATGGTGTGATGGCAAAGGGTTCTGCAAGGTGCTTCCTCCCTTGAGCATGCTCTCCTCCCACACAACATTTGTTTTTCTTGCCAGCTCAGCATGAGTCTGTTTCCTCAGTGTCTTTAGAGTATGAAATGCTTTTCTGATGAAGTGAAGTGCCAGACCCTTTAGATTTTTTTAAATTTTATTTATTTATTATGTATACAATAGCTTGCATGTATGCCTTCACATCAGAACAGAGCACCAGGTCTCATTATAGATGGTTGTGAGCTACCATGTGGTTGCTGGGAATTGAACTCAGGACCTCTGGAAGAGCAGACAGTGCTCTTAATCTCTGAGCCATCGCTCCAGCCTGACCCTTTAGATTTTAAGCAAACTTTGGGTTGTTGTAAAATCACTCAAGGGAGTGGTACGGTATGTGCTCATGTGCAAGGGTCTCTGAGGTACAGAGGCTCATCAGAGCAGCTGGCAGCTATGCAAGTACATTCCAGTTGCTTTGCAGTGCTCTGGCCTGTGCCCAGGGCTGTCGTCATTCATCTGCTCTGTTGACACCACATTTGAGTTTGTATGACAAGGAGGTGGCATAGACTCTGACGTTAGGCTGTCCAGGATCCATCCTGAGGCCAGCACACTCACTGTCATGCCTGGACAGATAGGAAAGCTAAATGTGAAGGGACATTGGGTACTGGCTGCAGCCCCCTGACTTCAGCTGCATACATTTGGACTTAATACCACCCCAGTGTTTGGGGCACCTACAGCCAAGGTAACTGATGGCCTTGGTGGCCATGTAGCTCCTTGGCAAGACTGTCTATAATAGATTTTCCTCAGTCAGGTCCAAAATTCACTAGCTCTTTCTATTCCTACAACTGAAGACTCTGCTCAGTACCAGCAGCACGGTAGCCCATCATACAGACTGGCTGCAAGGTCTGGAGTACTTTCTTTGTCTAGCATCCTCAGAGCCAGAAGACCCTCAGAAGAAAGGTCTCTCCTGAGGAGATTGAGGCAACAAGAGTATGTGTTTATATGGAATGTACGTGGGTGATGAGTAACAGGTTGTGTGTCCCTCCAGGCCTCCCTGATAAGTACTACAGCCTCACCTGGTTCCTGAGCCCAGTCCTCGGTCTCATCTTCACACCACTTATTGGCTCTGCAAGTGACCGCTGTACCCTGAGCTGGGGCCGCCGGCGGCCCTTCATCCTTGTGCTGTGTGTGGGGGTCCTCATTGGTGTTGCACTTTTCCTCAACGGCTCTGCTATAGGTGAGTGTTCACTGAGGTTGCCCTCATGCATGCTTTGGGGCCCTTATCTGGTGATTTCACCAGGTCACCTTGGGCAGGGACCAGCTCCGGCCGCCTGGTGGAGACCGTAGCCGGGAGCTTGGCAGTAGAGCTGGCCCCACATGGGAAAGCTGGAGGAACCTGTTCACAGGGAAACGCTTCCTGTTGTGATGGCTTGTTTTTAATGCGTATCTGACACCACGTCCTGTTTCCAGAGTGATTTCAGAAATTATCTTTTCTTTTTTTGTTCTCCTTTTCTTAGACATGGTAGTGAAAATGTCCAGAGCCCCGTTTGCTGTTTGTTTTCTTGGTTCATGCCTCATGTGTTGTTTTGCCTCTTTCTGTTGTTTTGTTTTTAATTAAAGTCACTCTGTGGGAAAATATTTTCTGCCTTGCGGGCACCATTCAGAACTGGTGGAAACAAAGCCTTGTTTTTTGGCTCAGTATGGGTTCTGAAGCACAGGGCTGCCCAAGTTCCAGGGGCAACAGGGTTGTGGGCAGAGAGGCCCCAGAAGACCACCTCCAGGGGCCAGTCACAGTGTCTCAGGGCTGGGGTTGGGACAGTTTGTGGCAGATTTAGGTCATTCTCCTAGCCCGTGTGTCTCCTTGCTGAGTCATACCTGTACAAGGCAGACTCCTCCACCAGAGATGGTTCCCATCTAGGAGTCTGGGGGTGCCACTTTCCTGGTATTTGCTGCTGCCCCTGGGCCTGTCCATGTCACCTGCAAAGCATTCCTCCATATGCAGTAGCATGTACAGAGAGCATCGCTGCGGTGGCCCTGGCCATAGGTGATCCACATATAGCCAGCCTGGAGGCACCAACACTTCAGCCTAAGTTCTTCTCTTGCCAGTGGGTCGTCCTGGGCAACCTGTGGGCCAGCATGTCGAGGTGTAATCAAAGACAGAACTTCATGACCAGGTCTGTCTTTGTCCCACCTCTAGTCCTGAAGGTTGGTCTAACCTTTAGGTTATGGGCTAACCAGGGCTCAGATATGGACATTGATTTCTGGGTCCAGGCAAGCTCCCCATTCAGACAAGGCTTGGTGTGTGAGGACAGCTTCCTTAGAGGCTCACTGTACCTGCTGAGGCCACATGGCCTTTCTACATAGGCCTGAGGTCCTTATGTACTCACAGCCTGTTGTCTAGCATGGATGCTGAGGCAGAGCCAACCAACTCAGAAAGCAGCACAGAGGAGTTTTTGTTGGTGGGCAGAGGAGGAGATAGTGTCCTCATAGAGGTGAAGGTGGTGGTCCTCGCATAGCCACTGCAGCTGATGCCGGTTGCTTTACCAGCCAGTGGCCACTGTTGTTGATTGGCAGAGGAGGAAGAACCTGCTTCCCTTCTTTCTTGAAAAACTATGAGAGAGGGAGAAGTAGCTGAGTTGGGAGTATTGCTGCTCTTGCAGAAGACCCAGGTTCAAGTTGCAGCATCCACATGTTGGCTCACAACCATCTGTAACTTCAGTTCCGAAAGATCTGATGCCCTTCTCTGTCCTCTGCAGATATCAAGCGCTCACGAGGTACACATCCATACATGCAGGCAAAACACTCATAATAAAATAAGTATTTTTTAAGATAAGGAGCCCTGGGAGCTGGACAAAAGGGGACACCCACAAACCACAGAAATAGGGTGAAGCTTCCTGCTGTCCTGAAAGCATTTGCCTCAGGTACTGACAGTTGGCACTGGAGTATGACTGCTTCCCCATGCTCTGTCCAGGTCTGGCGCTCGGCGATGTTCCCAACCGACAGCCCATTGGCATTGTCCTCACGGTGCTGGGAGTGGTGGTCCTGGATTTCAGTGCCGATGCAACTGAGGGGCCCATCCGTGCCTACCTGCTGGATGTGGTAGACAGTGAGGAGCAAGACATGGCCCTCAACATACATGCCTTCTCTGCTGGTAAAGCCCCATGCCAGGCCTCAGGTGGGAGGGTGGCATCTGTGCTCCTTGGTGGCAGTGATCAATGACGGGGCCCTAGGAAGCACCATGACTCACTCTATGCGTGAAGCCAGCAGATGTAGGGACCCCAGTCCCTACAGGGTTAAGAGAGAGTAAGGCTTGCCTGGGTGACATGCCTGCCAGGTGGATGTGCTGAGGGCCCCACACTGACACTGCCCAGGCTTTTTCATTCATTCATCTAGACGGGAGCACATGGGTGTGCTGGGGTTTCTTGTAGGCCTGAGACTCCTTTTGTCTTCATTTCTGACTGGGAATAATGTTAGGCCAGTCTTAAGACCTGTGCAGTCACCTGTATTGTTGTGTTGTGTTTGTCTCAGCTGTCCTTTCATTCTCCACCTCAGTGGTTTACCACATAACCCAGTTCCCCTGTGTAAGGGAGAGCCCTGTGCTGGGCCTGACACTCACTGTCACTTTTCTACCTACAGGCCTCGGTGGGGCCATTGGCTATGTACTGGGTGGGCTGGACTGGACACAGACCTTCCTAGGTGACTGGTTCCGGACACAGAACCAGGTGCTGTTCTTCTTCGCTGCCATCATCTTCTCAGTGTCAGTGGCTCTGCATCTCTTCAGCATTGAGGAGGAGCAGTACTGCCCACAGCAGGACCGCAGTCCTGAGGATGCCACCCTGCCCAGCACCAGCGCCCCAGCCCCTGCCACCCGCCTCAGCTCCCTTGGTGGAGGCATACAGGATGGGAGCCCCCCATTCCCAGATGAGGTGCAGTCGGAGCACGAGCTGTCCTTGGACTACCTCGACGTGGACATCGTGCGCAGCAAGAGTGACTCGGTGCTGCACATGCCTGATGCCACACTGGACATGGAGCCTCAGCTGCTCTTCCTGCATGACATAGAGCCCTCCATCTTCCATGATGCTTCCTACCCCAGCACCCCCCAGAGCACCAGCCAGGAGCTCCTGAGGGTCAAGTTGCCCCGCCTGTCCACGTTCCTCAGGGAGTCCACCAAGGAGGACGACACCTTGCTTGATAATCACTTGAATGAAGCTAAAGTCCCAAATGGGAGAGGCTCCCCACCAATGGACTCATTCGGCCGCTCTAAGGCAGACTTGAAGTCCTCGGTCACATCCAGTTCCATGAGGCGGCGCAGGCACATGTTCCACAGGCAGGCTTCTAGCACCTTCTCCTACTACGGCAAGATTGGGTCCCACTGCTATCGCTACCGCCGGGCCAATGCAGTGGTCTTGATCAAGCCATCCCGAAGCATGAGCGACCTGTATGACCTGCAGCAGCGGCAACGCTCCCGACACCGCAACCAGAGTGGGGCCACTGCCTCCAGCGGGGACACGGAGAGTGAGGAGGGTGAGACAGAGACCACCGTGCGCCTGCTGTGGCTGTCCATGCTGAAGATGCCCAAGGAACTGATGCGACTTTGCCTCTGCCACCTACTCACTTGGTTCTCTGTCATCGCAGAGGCTGTCTTCTATACGGACTTCATGGGCCAGGTTATCTTCAAAGGGAACCCCCAGGTGAGTACCCTGTAGCCAGCAGTTCCACACCAGGGGCTCTAGTGAGCCTGCATGCACTGCCCATGCACCCATATGGCCATGTGGGTCAGGGGAATACCCAGCAGGCAGCTGGCCAGCACACATCTCAATGCATGGTCAATTGCACAAGCTGAGACAAAGTTGTTGCAGTGGGGTCTTTGGTGACCATTTGCAAATGCCAGGTGCTTTCATAGGACCAGAACCCCTTTGAAAATTGTGAAGAGAGTGTTGGTTCAGCTGTCAAATAACAGCCTATTTTTATTCTTGCCAGGCCCTGCTAGTGTTTCTGTAGCTGTGTAGGTAGCCACAGTGGTCTATCACACCTTTTTTAGGGGCTAGCAAGGCAGCTCAAAGAGGGCAGAGTCATTTCTGCAGCTACAGACCAGCCTTATTTCACAGCCACAGGCAGAATTCCACTTCTCATTGTGGGCAACAGAGTCGCATGTGGCCTGGGAGGGACTGGAAAATAGCTTACCAGATACTGACCTGGACTTGGGTTGATTCTCCTCCTCCTCCTCACTAGAGTGTCTGTCACCTCTCAAACTGCCTGCATGGGAGTGCAGAGTAATCTCCTCTGCCCTGAGGGTAGCAAATGCCCTCAACCTCCTTTCTCTGCAACAGGCCCCCTTCAACTCCACCGCCTGGCATGCCTACAACGCTGGTGTGAAGATGGGCTGCTGGGGCCTGGTCATCTACGCTGCTACTGGTGCTATCTGCTCAGGTGAGAAGGGGCCACACCCCGAGTATCGGGATCCTGACTTTTACCTAAATAGAGGAAAAGCTTTTTACAGTCGGTTGCTATGGCTTGGAGGCTATCCTATGCACTGTCCCATGACACTGTCTAGCGCGGATGGCACCTGTTTATTAGTATGCTGTCCCTTCCATGCCAGCTCCATCTGGGGCCAAGCAGTCTGAAGGTCCAGACTGCCAGGGACAGGAGTCCTCATGGGTGGGATGATAAGCTGTCACCCTAAGGTAACATACCCCACTCACCCCTCCTCATTTTCCGCCCACCCTGTCTGAACCTGGAATGGAAGTTGGTTTTGCCTGATCTGAAGGTGAAGCGGGGAGTGTGGGCAGGTCAGCCAAGTATCAGGGTGATAAGGACCACACCTCTATCACACCATCCTACTAGAGTGCTAGGGAGGCTTCCTGGAGGAGGTAGGGTGTATGAGGACCCTATTAGGAGGCAGGATCCTGAGGCTGGCCCAGAGTGCTGGGGAATCCAGAATGACAAGGGAAGGGCCAGGGATTTCCCCCAAGAAGACCTGGGTGGGGAGTCAGCAGTCCAGAGAGGCCAGAGATCTGACTTCTTTCAGAAATGCTGGAGCCTCAAGGAATCCAGGTGGGCACAGGGCTCCATGGTTCAGGTGGGCAGGAGAAGATATTTGCACCTAAAGGCCTAGGTTCAACCAGAGGGAGGAGGTGTTGGAGATAAAGGGTGTTTGTGTAAGCAGCAACTAAGTCATGATCCTTGTGGCCCTCTCTGCAGCCCTGCTACAGAAGTACCTGGACAACTACGACCTGAGCATCAGGATCATCTACATGTTGGGGACACTGGGCTTCTCTGTGGGCACCGCTGTGATGGCCATGTTTCCCAACGTCTATGTGGCCATGGTCACCATCAGCACCATGGGTGTCGTCTCCATGAGCATCTCCTACTGCCCCTACGCCCTCCTAGGGCACTACCACGAGATTAAAGAGGTACAGCCAGCCTGGGGATTCCGAGCGAAGGTGGTGTTGGGCTGCCTCAGTCCTGCCTGTCTAGCTTCCCTTCTGATGAATGACACTCGTAGTCATTCTGGCCACAGGGTCTCTGGACCCATGTCCGCTCTACCATCGTGTCTCCCACCTGTGGGCCATTTCCTTTCCAGGCTCACTCTTTAGTTGGACCCTGATCTGGCAGTCTCAGTGCCCTTCACATATGTAGCATTTGAAGAGCTACTCTGTTAGTTACTGCTTTTGAGGTCTTACTTTTGGGCCTCTGTGTAAAGGGATTGGAGCCAGCTGTAGTGGAGCACAGTTAGACCCGGAACATAGGAAAGTGAAGGCCAGAGGGTCAGGACTTCAAGATCCTCCACAGCAAGTTTAAGGCCAGCCTGGGCTACTTAAGACCGGGGGCGGGGGGAGAGAAAGAAGAAAAAAACTGGGCATGTCAGCACACACCTTTAACCCCATTAATCATTGATGCAAAATCAGTTCTCTCAGTAGGTACACACCTCACCCACCCCCTCTTAATGAAACCTAAGGGGTGGTGGTTTTATAGATGAACTCCGAAGGGCTCAGAACTGGTGAGGCTGAGCAAGTGCTGGCATTTCAGAAGTGAGTCATACAGAATCGCCCAGACCAAGAAAGATGGTGACCAGAGTCTAGAAGCCTCTTCTCCTCCTGATAACCTGACTTCACTTGTACCTACTTCTAACTAACCTTCCTATAACTAGACTAGCATTTTCTGTTCCACCTCATTCTGTGTGGCGTGATTAGTAGAGCAGGACTTTTTACTGATCCTGGCCTCTGTGCCACTTCATGATGTCTACCCAGTAGGTTCTAATGTGGCTCCTTTCTAAAACACTCCAGGAGAGTGTTTTTGGGACCCAGGGCCTGCCACCCTATCTGCATGTAAGTGCATGTGCTGTGCTTCTGGCCAGTTCTCTCTGTCTTTTGACAGATATGACACTTTTTTTTTTTTTTTTTTACTTTTTTTTTTCTTTTAATTAGGTCTGTAGTAGGTCTTGATGTCAGGCAGCATGCACACCTAAGCTCTGTTACTCAAGGTCACTCCAGCTGTCATACTGTAGCCCTTGCTGGTCTAGAATTCCCTATGGAGCTCTGCCTGGTCTCCAACCCATAGAAATCCTGTTGTCTCCACCTAGTGAGTGCTAGGATTACAGGCAGGAGCTGTCACCTAACATCTGGAAGTTTAAGTGTAACACTTTTTTTTTTTTTTTTTTTTTTTTTTTTTTTTTTTTCTGAGACACCCTCTCACTAGTATCCTTACCTGACCTGGAACTCACAGAGATACACCTGCCTCTGCCTCTAGAGTGCTGAGATCCAAGATGTGGACAACCACACCCAGCTAATTTTTTTTTTCTTTAAATAGTCATTTCAAAGATTTTTTTTTTCCTAAGGTCTAGGGGAGATAGCTTAGTGGATAAAGTTGGTGTCCGAGCATGAGGACCTGAACTCAGATCCCCAGGACCCCTGTAAGGTCCAGGGTATGGTAACATGTACCTATAATTATAACCCCAGTCCCAGGGGTAACCTGATGTTGACACCTGTCTCCATAGGTGCGCACATACACAGGTTCCTGTGGTTTCTGCCTTGATCTCTACTCTGAACCCATGGATTATTCAGAAGTGTGGTGGTGAATTTCCGACACTTGGGAGGTTTTAATGATGGTCATAGCAGACTGATTTCTAGTAATCAGAATCAGAGAAAGCACACATACATGACTTCAGCCCTTCAATTAACTGATGACTCTGTGGTCCAGTGTATCTGCTCCAGTGTATCTGCCCTTTGGCCTCTTTCTGTCCATTGAGTAAGGTGGGGTTTGCTCTTTGTTCAGTTCTTCTGTAGTTCTCTTTCTGGTTTCTGGAAAATATGTTTAAACTCTCCCTCTGACTGTAGTGTACCCAAGTTTAAAATCTGATTGTGGTTTCCACCTTCTGGGTAGATTGGCTTCCATATCTCAAGGATGAAGTCTCCTTTGGAGACTTGGAGTGAGTGTAGCCATGTAGTGCACAGGCATGCTTTTATATCATGTTCAAGAAACAGGAGCAAACAAAACTGCTCTGTGTCCCCTGCTGTGTCACCTGAGCCCACATGCATGCAAGTGGGCTCTCCCTGCTCCTCAAGGAGATCATCAGGGAGAGGTGGCCACCCGTGTCTGCCCTGCCTCTCTTTCTTAGGGCTAGAGGTGATGTTTTGGGAATAAAGTCCTGATTAGGTGGTAGAACTACTTCCTGTTCCTCCTTATGATCTATAACGTTCTACCTCTCCTTACTACCCAGTGCCAGGCTAGGGCTCTGGAAAAGCCAACTTGACAGTTGCTGCCTAGCTTAGGCAGGTGCATCTCTTCTCTCACACGCAGTCAGTGTTTATAGCCCTGAGGTACAGATGAAGATTGTCCTCTCTGCCCTCACACCTGTATCCCTTTTCTTGCAGTATGTCCACCACAGTCCGGGGAACTCCAAGCGTGGATTTGGCATTGACTGCGCCATCCTCTCCTGCCAGGTCTACATCTCCCAGATCCTCGTTGCATCTGCCCTTGGAGGCATGGTCGATGCTGTGACTGTCCTTGTCATCCCCATAGTGGCCTCCGTGGGCTCTTTCCTAGGCTTCCTGACAGCCACATTCCTGGTTATCTACCCCGAGGTATCAGAGGAAGCCAAGGAGGAACAGAAAGGCCTGTCCACAGGGCCTGCTGTCGAAGGCGAGGGTGGAGCAGACAGTGAAAAGCCCACTGTGCTGAAGCTGTCTCGGAAGGGGGGCCGTCGGGAGTCGGTGGAGACAGAGTCTATGGTGTGAGCCCCAGCTGGCACATTCCACACTGGAGGGCAGGGTGGATTAGGGGTTATGCTTGCCGACACCATGTGAGCTGGAGTTCCTTCCCAGATTGCAGTCCCAAGTTCAGTAGGTGTTAGTTATAGGGTAGGTTTGAGCTATTAGACAAAAATATCACACTAATTACCTTTCCCACAATTAAAAAAATCATTTGAAATCTTTTTTTATTGAAAAAACTTAATTTTCAGCTGTCTCTTATTCTGCAGGTGTATCATTCTGCATGTTTTAAATTGTGAAACACTCACAGCATAGTCAGTAAGCAACTTAGAAAGTGTAAGGGTCTGCATTCCTTAAACAGTTAACTCGAAGTGCAGAAACCGACTCCCTCGGCAGGTGTCATCCGAAGGCAGCAGACAGCAGCGCAGTACCCAAATTGTCCAGCAGGTGTCTGAGGAGGCTTCTCAGCATCGTTCAGGTACTGCAGCACCTCAGAGCAGTTTTCTCTGTTTATTTTAGAAACAGTATTTTCTCTTTCACAACTGTGGTTTTCTTAGAAGAACGGCATCTCTGGTGAGTTAGGCCCACAGTCCTGTGCACATCTGCCAGTGCCTGAGACCACACACCAAAGCTGGGAAAGGGTCCTGGAGGCATTTGAGCAGAAGGCAGCCATTCCCCAGGGTACCCTCCAGACATCCCACCTAGGGATAGCACCAGTCAGGAGTGATGAATGTGAACTCTCAGTGTGCCTCCTGTGTGCTTATGTGTGCATTTGTCTGTGTCTAGTCCCTACCCAAATGGTCCTCCCCAGAAGTGACCACGGGGCAGCTCTTGGCTCTGCGTGACATTTCAGTTTGTTTCTACACCTTTGGCTGCGAATTCAGGCACAAGAGTCCCAGGTGAGCATTGGCTCCCGAGTCCTGCTGCAAGGCTACCTCGAGTGTGTGGGGAACAGTGGCATCAGAGCAGGGCACGTGAAGGTGCCGAGGCCTACCTCCCTGCCACATTGGTGGCATTGGTCCTCGCTGGAACCTAACTGAAATCTTGTGACCTCATCACCTGCTCCTGCTGATGGTCACTGGAATGGGAATGAAGGCAAAGAGAAGCAAGCATGAGCAAACCTCGGGCTTCAGGAAAGCAGGCTCATCAAATGCTGCAGCTGTGGGGAAATGCTTTTCAAACCACAATCTCTGTTTTAAAACTCCACAGTTTCGTCTCTTCATATGTGAAACGGTCAATCTGCACTCAGGAGAGGGGAGGTCCTCCCTGGGTGGTACCGAGATGAAGTCAAAGCCGCGCTCTTGCTGCCTCTGTTGGTGTTTTTACATAAAGTACTTTAAAGTGCATGAGAATCATGCTGCAATATGAGCATTCTAAAGCAAATATATATATATATATACACACACATATATATTTCAAGATGAAAGTAAGCAGTTTTTAAATAAATTACTTGAATTTTCTGCATATTCAAAGGAATGCTGTGTTTAACGTCCTTGGCAGGCCTCTGTCTTGCCACGTTCTGCACACTGGTGGCGCTTTGTAGTTTTTAGTGTGCCGAGGGTACTCTCCACCTGCCTGAGTCTTCCTTCAAGCCTAGGCCTGCACAGGACTGGCTCCACCTTCCAGTGCTTTCTGTGTTGCTAGTTGAGAATAGAATTGCAAGTCTCCTACTTAGGTATGGGAAGTTGGACCACCAAACACAGTCCCCATGCTGAGGCCCCCAAGCCAGCCAAGCCTTATCAGCTGCATGCTCTGTCTCTTTGGGGGAGCAGGCACTTCTGGGCTCCTGGCTTCAACCAGCATCCTTGGCAAGTCACTCCTGTGCAACTTGGTTTCCTTTGGTGGTTTTAAGATGGTACCTCCTCCTTCCTGAGACGAAGGGCCACAGCTTCTGTTTTCACACACCCTGCTTTCCCACCTTCCCATGGAGGACAGGAGGAGGCGGGGTGCAGAGAACACTTACGAGAGCAAAACCTGGAGCTGTCATACTGAGTGTGGATTCCTAGGAGGCCACACACTGTTCAGAGCACCCCACCCAGAAGCTAATGCAGACCGAGCTCACCGAAACTGGATGTCTAGAGGTTCGGGGTGTAGCAGAGACCAGACCCACAGGAGGAAGAGATATGGGATTACCATGTACAGTCTGCCAGCTCTTGAGATACTAGCCTCCACTCACCATAATCTGAAGTAACAGAGGGACACTTTGTGTTCATGGCACAGGCCTTGGTAAAGCCACTGGTAAAATACTGACATCTGGTAACAACAGTGAGCCAGAGGCATGCCTGTTTGTTGCTGTTAGGTGAGGCTGCACATCTGCGGGTTTTTAAGACCTGTGCCTGTTAGACGTCTTTGCACCCAAAGGCTGCTGTCTTTGGGTCTGGTCAGTGTGAGGGCCCTTGACTTGAGACTCAAGGGTGGTAATAGAGTTTATTTTCGGGCTTCCTTGCAGATAAATATAGTGAGCCATGGGCCTCAAATTGCATGGCGTCTCATCTGGGGTAGACCGGTGGTCAGACCCTTTTAGCCTAGCCCTTCCCTCTGAGATGGCACCAATGGGCAACTCAGGGCCACTGCCTATGCATTAAAGAAGCCAAGGGAGGAGGACTGGCTTTGTAGCATGTGACCCCGAAGCTTTTATTGCTCAGACCAGCCCAGGCATTTTTGTTTTCTGACCTGGCCCTGCAGACCCAGTACCCATGGGTGGTGGGATTCCAGAGAGTACACCTGAGTAGCTCTTCCATGGCCTATGATCTTGATAGGAAAGGTGCTTTCATTACCTAGATTCAGGGGACTGGCTGGGTCAAGCAGATGCCCACTTGTGACCAATGCCGAGGATGCAAATGGAGTTAGCTTTGTAGCACCCTGGGATTTGTACTATGTGCAAGCACCATGTAGTAGGATATTAGCAAGAATTCCACTGGTCCAAGGCCATAGAATGCATGCAGGTCACTAACAGGAGGGAGTGATGATGGTCTGAACCCTGCCTCTGTTGCCTGTGAAAGTAAACTACAGCTGAGTTTTTTTAAAGAGAAGCTTCTTAAGACGTGTGGCCAAGTTTGCCTGCACAAGAGTACAAGCCGTTAGGAAGAAGTCCACAGCCTGCTTCTGGCTAGGGGCTGAATGGCATGGTGACACTCCCTGGTATCTGGAAAGCTGGCTATGCATTGTCTGTTCTTAGCCTAAGGTCTTGGCTGGAACATTCAGTCCCGCTGACAGGTTCACCGCCCTCAGGCTCCCACCCTTGAGATCCTCGGGGCCCTGTGAGGGCTGGTTTGGGAAAAGTTGGGAGGGACAGGGCAGGACCTGGTTGGGAGCCTCCTGGAGTGGTCAAGATGTCACAGAAGGTGCTGCAACCCCTCCATCAGCAGCAGCCAAGGTACCCACTGTCTGATCTCCCTGGTGCCGCTTGGTTCTGTAACCCATGGAGTTGATGGCTCCATCTGTCTGTAGCCAGTGGTCAGTGCATAACCTCAGCAGCCATGGCCACATGAGCCACAGGTCAGTGCTGTAAAACATCTACTGAGACTGGACACTCGTCAACCTCACTCGCACCAAATGCCGAGAGCCCCCACCTGAGCCTCTGTCTTCGGCCACCAACCAACACCTGAACTGTGCAAGCAGTGAGTCCTCCTCCAACGGCCATCACCAGAAGGGGGCTTACCCCTCTGCATGTGAGCTAGAAAGCAGTGCTTTCGAGAGTGCCCGGGGACGGCAACCCTTGGGCCTCCAGGCGAGCCGAGCAACCTCTGGGAGCCCCAGCTGCCTTCCCTGGGACCTGCTGAAGGTCCTGTGCCGGGATGTGTAGCAGGAAGACAATTGTTCGCTAGGCCTCGGCACAGTGGCACTCCCCAGGCACCTCGGAACAAGACTATTTAGTTCCTTTGTGAACTGGAAACAGGACAACTGTTATCAACTTATTAAGTTGGAGCACTGTAAAAGCTCTTGCTGATTTTAGCAATGGTTAAGTGTGTGTTAAACACATGTTACATTTTATGAGGAAACAGATTATAAAAAGAGTACTATCAACACATGGCTTTGTTTTCTGTTTTGTTTTGTTTTTTAATTAGGTGGATGTTCATGTCTGCTTCTGTCCAGAGCCCTTGGGCTTTGTCCTTTGTCACATGCTGGGCCGCTGGTCCCTGTGCATAGTTTGGTGTGTATGGCCTGACTTCTCCCTGCCAGGCTAGTGCCTCCCCTGCCTCTATTGCTCTGTTACGCTGTGGTTGACTCAATAAACGTTAGCATTGCAGGTGATTGCGGTGTGGACCTGTCATTTTCGAGCGGCTGCCCTCCTGGAGCCTGTTTAGTACAGGGGGAGGCAGAATGCTCTTCCTGGCTGCAGCCAATGCCTGCAGGCACAGCCAGTTCCCCAGAGCTCCCCCAGGGCCCACAAAATGGGCTCCTGCAGCTTCCGTGCAGCCCGGCCTCCCAGAGTCACTCCTGCCCAGAGGTGAGGAAGTCGAGTCTGTTTCTGTTGGTGGGATAGGGGCCTCTCTGCTGCAGGAAAACGTGTGTCTCCTAATGAGCAATGAGAGAGTGGAGTCTGGTGGGGGCTGGCCAACCCAGACAGTGAGTGACTTCTGACCCTTGTGTGTGCATACAGCTTGGGGTGCTAGAGGTGGGTGCCCCAGGCCTTCCTGGGACAGAACATGTTTTGAATCTCCTGGTGACCTGCTAATAAGGTTTGTAACAGACACAGCCCTTGACAGGGTTCTCAGCCTGCGTCACTCCCTGAACATGGGACTGGAGTCATCTACACACCCATGGACAGCTGCTAACTGCTGCTGCTATTAGCTGCCAACTCCTCCTGCTGAGCCCTAAAGGACCCTGAGGCAGTCACCTACTGCATCTGAGCTGAAGGACGGGGGTTTCTGACGTGTAGGAAGTGCTGGTAGTGACCCAGCACCCTGAGGTCCTACCCTCATTAAACGTTGAAGTTGGACCCCCACTCCCGGACTGGAAAGAGCCAGGTATGGCACCCCTACTCTCTAGCAGCTCCACGTGCCTGAGATCTCCAGTGTCTCAACGGCGGTGACTAGGAAGGAATTTCTGCAAAAGGGCACCCCATTGCCTGCTGCAGGACCAGAATCGGCATCTTCCAGGCCCCTTCAGCAGCTGTGGCACAGTGAAGGGCATGTGGCCCAAACACCCACACCACCTAAGTAACCTCAGCTAGGAGGCAACAGTCCTGAGCAGGGACCCTCTCCTAGCTCCTTAAAGGACAGTCTAAAGCCATACGTGTGCAGTGACTACTGAGAAACGAGCCCCAAGTCTCCTATCACTCCCATAGGCTTCACACCTGTGTGTCAGCCCGCCAGAATGACAGGTATGCACAAGGCCTTTCACTGCTGTGCTAATGATGGAACTGCTGAGTCACACACTCAGCCGTCAGATGATACTGCAGCGTGATTTAAGTTTTCAGTTTGCTGAAAACTATGTTAAGGCATGATTTTTTTCTTATTTATGAGTGTTTTGCCTGCATGTTTACATATTCACCATGTATGTGCAGGTACTTGCAAAGGCCAGAAGAGGGCACCAGATCCCATGGAGCTGGAGTTACAGACCCGGTGAGCCACCACATGTATGCTGGGAACCAAACTCAGGACCTCTGCAATGGAGGCAAGTGCCTTTGAACAAAGAGCCACCTCTGTAGCCTCATTAAGCAGCTTTTTTTAAGTGGCTATCTACATAGCTTCATTGGTAAGGTACCTTTTACTCAGTTTTCAGCTGGGCTTTTCCTCTTATTAATTTGTAGATGTTCTTTACATATTGAGGATTTAACTTAAAAAAAAAAAACTTTTGTCAAATCTAGTGTTTCCCCCAGTTATGGGTTTTTTTTTTCTCTTTTATTTATTCATTTATATTATGGATTTTGAAACACGGTTTTGCTCCATAGCTCAGGCTAGCCTCAGACCCACCGTGATCTTTCCTGCCTCAGCCTGAGAACAGCTAGAATCACAGACATACGCCACTGTGCCTGGCTTTTTTTTTTTTTAATTCTGTGTTTTGATGGAGTCTAATCAGTCGATCTTCTTTCATATGTAGCCTTTTTCACTAAGTCTTTTTCACGTGTTCTTGAAAGCAGCCTTGCAGTCCTTTCCCACACTCGTCTTCAGAGTATCCAGCTGCACATTAGGTCAGGGGAGTACCCTAACAGCCACCTCATGTAGCAACGGCTGCAAGCCCTCCCCACAGCCATGCTCAGCAGGTGCTTTCCTGTTTCTGCAGTCACCAGACCTGCGTTGTTGTCCTTCTGACCTGCTTACCTGTCATGACAATGGCACCACTGCTTTCTCAATCACTGCCAGGATGCTTGAAAATCACGTCCTGTGGGACTTGTCTCTCTGATCTCCTTTTAAAACATTTTTTCTCAACATTTCTTCATGTGGTGTAATCCTTAGCTCTACCGGAATCCGTGAGTCCCTCACATAGGAGAGAACATCATTACAATGCTAAACTTTGCGGTTTATGAACAATGTATCTTTTGAGACTTTTAAACTTTCCATCCAGGGTGTCTCAGCTTTCAGGATATTGGCCTTCTGGCCTTCCATTTCTTCCATTGGTTGTCATTCCACCTCAGGCTGCTCTGCACTGTCAGTACAGCTTAAATGTCCCCAGTTTTCTGCTGCAGTATTGTGTCCTGATGTCACATCCATTACCAAGTTGAGTTCTATATTCCTCGGCTCTGTACGCACAGTGATGTCTGCAGACAGCCATGCTCCTTGAAGACTAGCCCTTCTTAGCTATTTTACAACTTGTTATTTTATGTGGATGGGTATGTTTTCTCTGCTTGAATCTCTGTGCACCACATGCCTGCCCCATGCCCAAAGAGGCCAGAAGAGGTCATCAAAGTCCCTAAAACTGGAGTTACAGCCAGTTATGAGCTGCCACATGGGTGCTGGGCACTGAACCTGCGTCCTCTAGAAGAGCAGCCATTGCTTTTAACCACTCAGCCATCTCTTCAGCCCTGGTTTTTTTTTTTTTTTTTTTTTGCTTTTTTTTTTGTTGTTGTTGTTGAATGCTCATATTATAGATTCAAGCTGCCCTCCAGCTCCAGGCAACACTTTTGCCTCAGCCTTCCAAATGCCAGGATTATTAAGCATGAGCCACCATACCTAACCAGTCCGGTCTTCATATGTTTTCTGTTCTTGCCCAGTGCAATAGCTGAGCCTCTGTACAGTATTGCCTAGAGGTGAGAGCTGTCCCCATCTTGGGAAGAGCAGTGAGTGTCCACTATTCCAGGTCATGTGTGCATCCAGCAGGTGCCCTAGCTAAGAGGTTTCTTTGTAAGCTTGCAAACACTTTAAAACACCATGAGTAGGACTGAAGAGGTAGCCCAGTTGCTATAGGTCTTTACTGCCACGAACAAAACCCTGGGCTCGAACTCCAGTACCTCAGGGAGTTCAGAGAGCACGTTCTATAGGATCAGAACCTGGCTGACCTGGAACTCCCTCTGTAGACCAGGCTGGCCTCAAACTCAGCCATCTGCCTGCCTCTGCCTCCAGAGTGGGGTTACAACCTTTCTTACCTCTGTGTGATCAGACAGCATGTTCCTGTTCTACGGGATACGAACCATTCCTAACCCTTGTACAGCATGTGCTGCTGCTCTCTGAGCTTTCCCCCTGCACTGCTGCTGTTGGGTATTCTACAGCCTTAGAATTTGCACCAATCACTGAAAGAAAGATGCCATAGTCTCCATGTGTAGTCTGGGGGTTGTCCATTTTCTGTCCTCTTTGTTTCATGTCTCTATTAACATAACCTAATTTTGGTGGGGGTGCTGCTCTCAAACTTGCTACATGGCTATGGGTAACCTTGAACTCCTGACCCCTGCCTTCACTTCCTGAGTCCTGGGATGGACTCCACTTTCTAAGTTGGCAGTTAGTCACTGTTTCCTGAAGTTGGTTGTGTCTGACAGGAGCACGGCCACATGAGTGTTGTGTGTGTGGCATTTGTATATCATTCTTTGCCCTTTTATCTCAGCCACGGTTTTACAAACCGCATCTCTGGTAGACAACATAGGATGACATTCAGGAAGGAGGCCTCCTCCCACCGTGTAGGTCCCAGGAAGTGAACTCCAGCCTGGTAGCAAACTTTATCCACTGAGCCATCTCACCAGCCCAGTTGTGTCATTTTCATGTAGTCAGGCAGTCCCTCTCTTAGAGAATGTAATCCGTGCACACTTAAGATTCAAGTGGCACCACCCTCAAGGGTTAGGGGCCCAGCTCAGCACCAGCATCCACCTGTCTGTGTTCTCTGCCTGTGGATAAATGTGACCAGTGGTCACCCTCTCCTGCCACCACCTTCCCTACTAGAACAGACTGTACCCTCAAACTGTGGGCTAAACAAACCCTTAGGTTGTTTTTGGCAGGTGTCCTGTCACAGCAACAGGAAATGTGACTAATACAGACGGCTGAGCTGTAACTGCAGCCCCTTTCCACCTCTCTCCCAGCCGAGTTATCCAGGCTAGCTCTGAAGCCAGGCTACCATGGCACTTAATGATCCTCCAGCCTCGGGATCTTAGAGTGCTGGAATTACAGGCATGCCCTGCTGTGCCTGGTAGATTTAATTTTCCCCAAAGACAGGGTTTCTCTCTGTAGCCCTGGCTGTCCTGGAGCTGGCTCAGTAGACCAGACTGGCCTCGAACTCACAGAGATCCTTTTGCTTCCGCCTCCCGAGTGCTGAGATTAAAGGTGTGTGCTACCACTTCCTGGCCCGGTAGGTCACTTGGTAAGCACTTCGTTTTGTAACCATTCCCATGGAGATGCCAGGGATGCACAGCTGGCCACACCACCGCCTTGCCCGTGGCTGACCACTATCAAACCCTGCAGAGCCGACAGCAGGCACACAGTCACAGAACACAGCTTCTTACCCGCAAGAGGATAACTAGAGCCAAGGAGACATGCTCTTTGCCATCATCAAGATGAGTTTACACGCACACCCCTTACTGGTTGTGCCCCAGACTCAGAAGAAACCAAAAGCATCCAAGTACACTTTTTCATCTCAATAATCTCTCATAGGCTCTTATGGAGCCATGTGCTCACTCCAGCCCATTTGATGCCAGAGCCCACCACTGTTCACTCCTCCTCCAATTTAAATGACTGCTCCGCAAAGGCTGTGGCTCTTTGTTCCAGTTCCATATGAGATCTTAGAAATTATCACCACAAATGAGAGATGAAGTCTGCTTTGGAACAGCTTGATTGGCTCTTAAAATGAACAGAGAAATTAAGAAGTCTCCCATGTGCGCTAAGTGCATGCCTATCACCCCAGCACTTGCTCGACTGAGGCAGGAGCTGGAGGTTGAAGCCATCCTGGGCTACACAGTTAGACCTTGTCTCAAAAGTGAAAATAATTAACTTCAAGAGATCTCCAAGGTGGAGGAGAGTGTGGTTCAGTGCTAGACCCCTTGTTTATCAAGAAGAGACCCTAGTTCCTTCTCCAGCACTGTAAAGAAAAAAGACTTCCAGTCTTAAGATGTCTCTACCCATTCACAACAGCCTACTCAAGCATTTATTAACAAAAAGGGTTTATTATCCACAAGCTATATGTAAACACCTGGTCATACATGGCCTGGCATTAAATAACTTAGAATGTATTTATGATTGACTCTTACAAAGACAGTTTGAGCCAGTGCCCCTGGCTGCTGGCCGCATTGTCCTTCTGGACATCTGGAACACCCAGGCTCTAGGGAGGCGTAAGGCTCTGAGATCTTCTGCACTGCGTTCAAGGGAGCCACACCTCAAGGGAACCAGCAATCAGTGGCACAGACCCTTCAAGCCTGGACCCACATCTTCCCATGCATGTGTTCAAGTACCTCTGGGTCGCTGGCCTGGTCTGAGAGACAGGCCTGGACCATTGGCACCCCCTTAGTGACTGGCTCTACCATGGCGCACAAGTCTCCACTATCTTCCCTGTGCCTGGCATCCACACCGAAAAACACCTCACAGAACACTTCCAGAATGGAGTTGGAGATGTATGGTAAACACATGTGTAAGTCCCTGCGGCCGATAGCTCTCCCCAGCTCGATAGAGAGGTGTCGTGCATACACATGAGGGAAGCACCAAGTACAGACAAGTCATGATCCAGTGAGGCAGTTACTCATGTGTGTGCTTCTGGGATGAACTTCCTGTCAGCAATCGTTGGTTTCTTCATCATTAAAACCTGAATGCCAAGACAGAGCCACTCAGCTGCCCAGTTTCTGCACAGACAGACATGATCAGTACTGGCCCCTCTCTGAGGCAGGCCTTGGTCACCATCCCTGAAGTGGGATAGCCTGGCCAGGGCCAGCCAGTTCTGTCAGAGTTTATCCTCAAATGCTCAGAAGCCTCTCTGAAAGCAGGAAGTCCATGGAAACCTGAAAGGCTCTTTGGCTGATGGTTACATACCAGCCATTGCCTAAGTGTTTGCAGAGTAAACAAATGAAGAGTCAATGAAGAGGAGAGGCCAGTCACGAGGACTCCAGGTCGCATGCGATTCAGCTAAGTTGGCAGCTGGCTCCAAGTTGTGGATTCTGAAGGTTTCTAGGTAACGTGAGGTAACTTCACAGTGGAGGCTATCAGCATTAAGATGTAGCTGCACACCCAAGGTGAAGAAGACCTTTGGGAGCAGACAACAGGCCCCACCTGGCCACTGACAAAACTGTGTGATGGGGGCGTCCTCTTGCAGGGCACACCGGCTCAGCACATAGCTTTCACTCAACTTTCCAGATGGCGATCTTGCCCTCCTCCTGGCCTGCTCCGCTCAGTACGTAGCGGTCCTCGGCAGAGCACAGGGTCCTCACATTGTCCAAGTGTGCCACCAGCTCCTTTTCTACCGTCATCTTCTCCACGTCCATCACGTAGATTTTCCCTCTGGTTTTTCCCTGAGACAGCCCCCTGCCACCCACCCAGATCTGTAGGGAAGAAACAGGGATACCCCTTGAAGCTGAGTGCTCCGTGATAAATGCACCTCCCCAAACTCATGTCCTTTCCTGCTAGCCAAGAGGCTGTGCTACCTGGTGGGGCTAGGACATACGTCAGGCCATAGAGGGTTAGTCTTGGGCCTGGAAGCCCAAGAGACAATGTGGCCATAGCTAACACTGTCTCCTGGACTTGAGTTCAACCTCAGTTGTAATTGGGAGAGGATGGATGCAGAGGCCTGAGCAGTGAGCATGTGACTATCTCACATCAAGTTCACAGCTGACTCACCAGTTATGATTCCACAAAGTGGGGCCATGCCCCGGTGGAATTTCCTTGCCACATGTTAGGCAGGGCTGGGACCTCCTTTTTTTTTTTTTTTTTTTTTTTCCTTTCATTCTAACTTTTCGCTTTGGGGATGGGACTTGTCTGGCCTTAGCCTGTTCCACTACTGCATTTTACACAGGAGGGGCCCTCGGGATGGACCAAACTCAGAGCCTTATTGCTACAGTTGACATGAGTATTCTCTAATACCCCGGCTTGGCTCTCCTGGAGTATGTTGAACCCTGCAGGAGGTTCAGCTCTGTGGGAGGTTTGAGGTCAGTGAAGGTACCTCAGAGGGGACTGTGGGACCCTAGTCCCTTCCTGCTGCTTGCTTCCTGGCCAGGACCTGAGCAGTCTTCTACCTTGGACACTCATCCACACTGTGTCTCAGCCCAAGCAAGCTTCAGAGCTGTGGGTCTGCTGGCCATGGACCACAGACACCTTTCCCCTTCTCAGCTCTGTGCTGCAGTGGTGGGAGGCTGACCAGCCCCTGCGTCGAGCAGCTCTCCTCGGATAAGGTCAGTGAAGTGGCAAAGTGGGCAGGAACTCTGGGCTTGGGGTTGGGTGGTGTGGCTGTACTTTGTATGTGGGAGCACTGTAGACTGGGCAGGCTACCATGCTGAATAACATCTCCCAGAAAGTCATGACCTTTCGGAATGGAAAATGATTTGGAAAGACTCCTAGGTGAGATGTGGCTGGCTGCAGTGGCCTGGGCCCTTAAGAGACACAGAGAGGTGCCACGTGAGGACCAGAGATGGCAAAGGCATAGCCACAAGCCAAGATGGTCAAGCATGGCCTCAGCGGGCACCAGAAGCTATGTGGAAGGCAGGTCTCCACTGAGAAGCAGCCAACCTGCCCACACCTGGGCTTGGCACTGACTCGGCCTCCAGATGAGGGGAAGCGAGGCTGTCATTCCCCAGATGGAGCACTATGAAACCTGAGGGACGCTGGTGGCTAGACGCCTTCACCTCACCTGCCCCTTCACACGAATCATGCAGCTGACCTCTGTGCAGTCTTGCAAGTGGGTCTTCTGAGGAGGCTGGCCCAGGTCCTTCAGGCTCCAGATATACAGCTCACTGCCCCCCGTGCAGGCCACCCACAGCTGCTCCTTCTGGGATAAAAATCACCGTGAGACAATGAATGGCCTTGTGACCAAAATAGTCCAAGCCTGGACTTGAGCACACAAGCGTGGACTTGAGCACACAAGCCTGGAGTACCTCAGGCAGAAGCTGGAAAGCCAGGAAGGAGACAAGTGCCTCGTTAGAGTTATCAATCCTCAGCTCTCGACGAACGAAACCCTGCGGCGTCACCACCATGATGCTGCGGCCTGTACCTGTGGGAGGAAGAACCAAGAGGAAGGATGGGCAGAGCATGCTCAAGACAGGAGGGGAAAAGCTGGAAGGCCAGGAAGGAGGCAAGTGCCTCATTAGAGTTCTCAATCCACAGCTGAAAGGTACTGTCTGCCCAGCTGGGGTCTCTTTCTATGACCGCCATAAAGCTCTTTTCACAGTTCCCATGAGATGTTCTAACACACACAGGTACTCCCCATTCTCTGTCACTTCATGGTGATCAGGAGCCCAAGCCCAAGCTTGGGAGATGCTTAGCATCCCAGCGAAGCAAAGCAGGGGAAAACCTTGGTGGCAGGACTCACCCTGCATCCTGGCAAAATAAGGTCTCTTAATTTCCTTGAAGGACTGTTGACTGCCCAGTGAGGTGAGGCCACGCAGTACCACCCTTAAGAGCACCCACACAAAAGGGAAGCAGAAAGGGAAGCTGCAAAGAGAGCAGAGAGGAGGGAACTGGGTTAAAACAGCGAGGGCAGCAGCAGGCAGCTACGGAGGGACCAGAAGGCAGGCCAACAGTCTGAGTTTCGGCGGTGGGAGGCTAGCAAACACCTGAGAATCATTAGCTCTCCTCAGGTAAGGCCCAGTGACAGAGTGAGGACAGTGGAGGCAGGAAGATCACAAGTTTAAGATGAGCCATAGCTAGCCAGTGAATCTGAGGCCAATGTGGTCTACACAGGACCTTGGAAAACAGACAAAGGAGGAAGAGAGACAGTCAGAGCAAGGAAGCACATGCAGAAATGGCACACTTAGGCCTAAGCACTTTGCTGGACAGCATTCAAATGGCCTCATATTTGCTTCAGAGAGGCCTCACGGTACAGGCGACTCCTGTACTCCAGGATGTTCTGAAACATGCTGGAACATAAGCCACCAGCCTAGAGCCTGCCCCTGCCCTCAGCACTTGGCAAACTGTCTGACTCGGCTCTAGCCACTGGGGTCCTGGGGATGGGCCAGGAATGATACAAGTGACAATAGCTAGGCTGGCCAGGCTGGCCTTCAGAGGCAGGTGTGGCACCCTCTGAAGAGGTTGCAGGAGACAAGCCAGGTCACTGGGTCAGGCTCACCCCCAGAGCAGCATACAAAAAAAAAAAAAAAAAAAAGAGCTAGAGAGTGGCAAACAAGTAGCAGATGGCAGCCATCCACCAGCCTGTCAAGGAACGGAGAGGAAGCCTGAAGAGGAGCAAGCCAAGCTACTGGGGCAATGTGGTTGCCAGCAGAGGAGGAACCATTTAAATTCAAAGCTGAAAACATACAATGAAGGGAAAGGGGCTCCACCCAGAACAGCATCAGGGCACCCTGCTCACTAGCTGATGACCTGAAAACTTACAGCACCACAGGCGGTCACTGTGCAGGCTGATGGACATGAGGTCACCATACGGCAGCTGGAATCGGCTGGTCACTCGAAGTGTGCTAACGTTCCACGCCAGGACCGTCCCATCCAGACTACAGGAGTAGACCTCGCTGAGGGATCAAACACACGCGCATGCATTCAACAGGCCACGTGGCGCCCTGCAGCTAACCCTGGGGCAAGGAAGCCACCATTGACAGTACGGATGGTGATAAGTAGGTGTGTCACACCAGGGACAGAACAGGATCTTGGGTGTCCAGTTCCCCTCTCTAGCCCCTGTGAGATCGGTGGGGTATCAGAGCCCTGGTACCGCCATTCACTGCAGCAAGTCTTGAGCAGGGCTGTCCAGCTCAGAGGACCCAGGAAGGGCAGGCTCACCAGCACCTAGAAATGGGCCATGGGCAGTACTGTTTGTGATTCTTGTACCTTCCCAGTTCCGTCAGGCCTGACCGTGCTGCAGGGCACGGTGGGTGAAACAGCTCACTTGGAAGCTGGTATTCTTAAGGTAAGTGAAGACAGTGTGATGTGACACAGGCCGACATCACAGATTGCACTGTGTCCCTGAGAAATGGTACAGTGAAACCCTTGCATTCAGCATCTCAGAATATGGCCTGACTTAGAAAGAGGGTCTCTGCATATGGTCAGGTTGACATACCGTCTTTACAGTAGGCCCTGACCCATTAGCCCTGCTGTCTTTAGACATGGGAAGCCTGAGCCCAGAGACAGCCACACACTGTGGGAGTGTGTGGGAAGATGAAGTTGAAGTAATATAGCTACGAGCCAGGAGACGCCAAGGTAGTCATCCTACACAGTGTGGGAGTGTGTGGTAAGATGAAGTTGAAATAATATATCTACGAGCCAGGAGACACCAAGGCAGCCATCCTACCTGGGGAGGCCAGAGGGAGCCCTCCCACCCTGGTGACTTGTTTGTCTAAGCTACTGCTCTGGCTTTCCATCAAGGTAGCTTTGGGAGACCATTACACAGGGAGGCTGTCCATCAGCATATACATGAACAGGTGATCCCAGAAGCAGGTGGCCGTGAGGCGGGCAGCCTCCATGGCATCCCCAAACCCGCTTCCATGTGCTGGCCCCACTAGAGGATGAGTAGATGGGTGAAGCCTCCACCTGAGGGCTACCCCCCCCCAAGCACCCAGCTGTGCCCTGGGTAGCATCCTATATACCTCCCTCCTCTACCCTCACACTGGCCAGGATAATTTGAGAGTTTTATAAGTCAAAGCTCTCCCAAGAAGGCTTGGCCATAGACTTGGGGTTGTAGAGGCAGGAACACATGGGTGAAATGGGGTTCACGTGTAATGGGGTGACTCTTATCTATTTGCCAGCATCTAGAGCTGCCTGCCTTGCACACCTTTGGGAGGAAGGGTGGAGGCCCCTGAAGCAAGGTGGAAGGGTTTAAAAATGAAGGCAACCAGGGTGCCAGGCCCACCTCAGGACACTTACAACACTAGCTTACAGATTCAGGAGGGGAAGTGCCCTCATCCGCCTGCAGACAGCTGGCCTTTGGTGAATCTTGGGGGCTTGGGGAGGAATGTCCACAATGGCATTTTAGAGAGAGTCAACACCAAGAACTGAGATGCTCTCTCATACAAAGCCAGATTTTTGATGTCTGGAAAAATGAGAAATCCATCCACAACCAGCATTTCCTGGAGGGTGCGCCCTCTCCAGTTTGCCAAAAGCACTGGCTATAAGGCAGAGAGCCAATGCTGCTTTAGTCATCTCAAAAGACTCCTTTCTCTTTAGCCACACGTAGAACCAGGCCACACGTGTCTTCTACCTACTCTCCTTCCAGACGCTTTTTGCCTGGCCAGGAAGGCCAAAACTCCTTACCATCCAAGCCCTTTCCTACTCTACAGGGCCCTGGTACCTGGGCTTCTTTCCATTCTGCACGGCCAAGCCGGTGACCGCAGCGCGGTGATCCGTCAGCTGTTTGTTGCAGGACATGCTGTGGACGTTGATGATGTAGATGACGGAGTCCTCAGAGCCGACCCACACCTGGCTGTGCTCTGCCAACACCATACAGTTCTGACAGGAGCCGAGATGGAAGGGTAAGATGTACAAACCAGCTTCACCAGTTGCCGCCAGCCCCTGAATCAGCGAACGTGAGCTTGACCCTGTAGGGTCTCCTCTAAGTCACATTTAAAGATACCTCACTGATGAGGACACAGTATAAACCATGGCAGAAAACACACTGGGGAAAGGACTGTGGTCCACGGTGTGAGCTACGAGGCACACCATTGCTGCTCGGCCTCAGCAGGGACACACACTGGGGCACTGACACTCCCACTGTGCACACCATGTCTAGATCACCCCAGAGGTGCCGTGGGCATCGATTTGGGGGTAAGGGCAGGTTTTAGTAGGTAACCGAATTTGCAGTAATGAAGATAGATTATAGGAATGGCCAACCAAGCCATCAGGGCCTCTTCAGATGGCATGTTCTTAGGGACTCTGGCTTTTCAGACTCCGGCTTCAACACCCGGGGGATGCTAGACGACTGGCTGGCTGTTGACTCACCCTGAATATCCACCGGGTTAAAGGCACCGGACTCACCACTTTGGAGGCCCCCACTTTAAAGCAGTGCTGATGAATGGTCCAGGAGGAAGCATCAAACACGACCACTTTGCCTTCACTCAGTGCACACCACAACTTGGGGTGTGCATCTTCAACTTTCTCTGCAGGGTCAAGGCGCCCTGAAGGGGAAGGTAGCCCCAAAGCCTTTAAGTGACTGTCAGATCAATGGTGGGGGAGGGGATGCCTCCTACCCTCAGGATACCCACAGAACCCCAGTGCACTGCAAAGCGCAGGGGTGTGGAGATGACAGAACGCCACCCTCCCCCGGGAGCCTAGAGTCTTGTGAGCTCCTGAAAGGGACAGACACAACTACATGGAATATGGGTATGCACCAGGGCCCACAGGTCAGCAGGAGGTATGAAGATGGCTGGCGATCGCTGGGCATGAGGGGAAAGAGGGTGAGCTGGAGAAACCAAGATACAGTGTACCCACCAATTTTCACACCCACCCAGAGCTTAGGTAGCAGAGTTTGCTTCAGGTCGTCACCATCATTTAGTGGTTGGGGGTCAACTAATCTGTTTAGGGCTTTTGAGATGGAGTTTTACCTAGCTCATATTGGTCTTGAGCTTGTGATAATCCTCCTGCCTCAGCCTCCTGAATACTGAGATTATAGGTATGCACCATCACATCTAGCTTGGCATAAATTTTAAAAAGTTTGAGAACTCTAAGGGATATATATATACACACATATATACATATTATATATCTATACATATATCCATAGTATGTATATATGTATATATACATATATATACATATATATGTATATATACACATATATGTGTGTGTGTATGTATATAAATGTATACATATATGTCTGTGCATATATATAAATTGGGATGAGATCATGCTATGTTCCCCAGGCTGGTGCTGTCTTGTCTCACCTTCTTGTGCACTGAGGACTGTAGGCCAGTGTCACCATGTCCAGCTCGACTCTAGTTTAGAGCTTGGATCTACTGGCATTGCCCTGAAAGGTCATGAGGCCATTAGTGTCCCCACTGGGGTGGCCTCTTTTGTGAGGTATGTGTCTCAGGGAGTTATACTTCAAATGGCTGGGTGGGAGCCCCTCATGATGCCATCATGCCAGGGTCACACTTGCCAGCCAAGCCCCTGAGCTGCCACTCTCCTGATTGTACCTTCTTAAATCCATTATTATTCACATTTATTTGTGTGTGTGTGTGTGTGTGTGTGTGTGTGTGTGTGTGTGTGTGTGTACATAAGTGGAAGTTAGATGACAATTTTGGGGAATCAGTCCTCTCCTTCCACTACGTGGGTTCCAGGGATGAGACTCAGGTTGTCAGGGTTGGCATGCAAGCACCCTTATCTGCTGAGCCACCTCACCAGCCCAGGTACCATTAATGTAGTCAGATCCACGGAGTCCTTCAGTACTTAGGAACTTGGGGTTGACCTGGTCATGGCTGTGCTATTGGTGTGATGGTCTGGGAGTCACTGCACTTACTTGTAAGTGCTTTCTCATCTAGATTCCAGTCCACTTGGAACTGGCATGGTGACTAAGGTGAGTAGGGTTCCAGCTTCCCAGATAGAGACAGGCTATCCCACTACCCCATGGTAATACAACCATTTGCCAACAGCGACCTCCTCAACCAGGTGAGAGTTGACACACAACTCCTGAAATGTCACATGCTGCAGGGGGCAGGGAATAAGGATTCTGCATTCCCACTAAGCATAGAGAACCACACGGTCGAGTGGATAGGGTGGCCATGTTTTACCCTTGTGGCTCAGGGTTCCGTCCTATAGACAGAAAACACCCTCCCTGTTTCTAGCATGGGGCTTTCCGCTCACTGCTACCAGGCTGACCTCCAACCCAAATCTAAGTTCATCACACCCTAGATACCTGGAGTATACAGCAAGACATCAACAGCTTGGGGAGCAGTCTCTCCAGCCGAAGGGTTAATCTTGTGTTTTAGGGTCTCCGCGGTTGTCTTTGGGACTGCCATGGGCACTGAAACACAGATACATGAGTTAGATTACCAGACCCAAGGACAGCAGGACAGCAGTGGCATCCGACTCAGGAAACTCTCCCGTTAGGAGTTTGTGGTAAAACCATGTGTGGCCTGAAGAGGGCACTCTGGGAACCAGTGTTGGGACAGTACCATCCCAGATGCCCTCTGGCCTCATCTCCGATGGAGAGCAGGGGCAAGAAGGCAGCACTGCATATGTTTGCCAGGTTGAGCAGTACGTGTCACACTTCCTTTCACTGTTTTTTAGCAGATCAGAGGACTACTAACGGGAGCCAGTTCTCTCCTTTAACCATGTGAATGTCAGGGATTGAGCTCGGGTCATGAGGCCTGGCAGCAAGTGCCTTTACCTAGTGAGCCATCTTGCCCTCTGTCAGGTTTCTGTTACCCATCCATCTGTTAACAGGCACCTAGTCTGGTTACATGACGAAGACCCAGGAAACAGCCGGTGCATGGTTGGCACTTGAATCTCTTTCCGTGCAATTCAGCATGTTTCCAGGCAGTGCTAAACACCGCCTTCCCTGAGGGTTTCTGGGACCACCTGCCAAGCTGAGGAACTCCCCCAGCTCCCCTCTCCCACCAGGCTGTCCCCATCACCTTGGGATCATCTGCACTTGGTGGCTGTGCCTTAGAGACTCGCTGAAGGCCTCTCCTCCATCCCTCTTTCATTAAGCCTCACATGTGATGTGATTGCTGTTGCCCTCATTTCTCAAAAGAAACAGAGCTCCATAACTTTCTTGCAAAAGCGCAAGCAGTTTGAAGGTCACTGGGCTCCCCAGATGGGTCCTGGGCGCCAACAATGGAGGAAGTAATGGTGGGACCCTCTGCCACTGCCTCTCCTCCTGCTGCCTCAGTGGACTGGCTCGGGTTCCCCCTTTCATTCTGTGTATTTTTAGACCTTCTACCACAAATGGACTCCACGCATTCTGAATTAAGCTTGGGATCTCATGTCATGAGTCTCCGCTTAACAAAAGCCACGCACTAGAAGGTATTTCTGGATTTGCTAAACCAGGCTCAGGATCTGAGCGTGCTGTGACCTGAGCTCAGATGGCTCCTCCTATGCCACGAGAGCAAGGTGAAGATGGTAGAGTGTAGGCTGGGCGTCGCCACGGCAACTCTGTAAACTGTTTACACAGGAGCTGGAAAGCTGTTCCATAAACTGCTGGCAACAGTAAGGCGTGCATTCGGAGTTATATAAACAGCTGAAGAGCAGGGTTTATTTGATTTTATTCCCATCTGAGGAAAAGAGCAGTTCTGTTGAGACCAAGGACTGTCAGATAGAGGTCCTGTGAGGGCTCGGTGGGTCTCCAGGCAATGTGAGGCCCCTGAGCCTCCTGACTGCTGAGCTGAGGCAGGAGCAGGTTCTATGACCAGAAAGCATTAGGGTAACAGAGCCAGTGACAGACATTACAAAGGGCAAGATGAGTAAAAGCTATGCCAAGGTGAGTAAGCAGCCAGCCTGGTGTGCTTTCTAATTCTTGGACAGCTGTTTTTAAAACCTGACTACGCACCCAGGAGAGATTAAATGAACCTTTACAGACATTCACAGAAGGCTTCATGAGGCAGAAGGCATCCAACTTAGATGTCCACAGAGGAAGGGGTACAGAAAATGTACTATAGCCAAACAACACAGAATTATAGCCATAAAGGAAATGAAGGACCACGTGGTGGCTCAGTGAGCTGTATCCATGCTGTATGAGAATGAGGACCCATGGAAAGCCAGGAGCAAGTCTGTTCCTATAACCCCAGCAATCCCTGTTCCTATGGCCAGACAGAGGACGGAGACAGGAGACACCCCAGAAGCCTGTGGATATTCCCAGCAGCCAGCAACAAAAATGAGATGACCCCACCTGAAGGAAGGTGGAAGGTGAGGAGTGACACCGGAGGTTGTCCTCTGACCTGCATGCACACACACCATGGCACGCACACACCCACGCTCACACAGAAAGCGCACCACACACATCATACAAAATACTTTAAAGGCATCAAGTGCCAGCTCATGAGGGCACTGAGGAAACACTGTACTGAGTGAAAGGCTGGAGTCAGGAAGGCTCCCAGGTACAGGAGACAACCAGGACAGATGAGATCACAGCACCAGTGAACAAACGGGCCACCGGGAGCACGGAAGGTGACGCTAAGCAGGTGTGGGAATTCCTCTTACAGAGTGTGTATTGGAGCCACCACTCTTCAGAACACCCTTAACCTCGGAAGGCACAGACTAGAGGGGTCCAGCTCAGTATCAACAGGACCTGGGAAGTCTTGCAGGCATCCCTACCTCATCACCCTGTGCTCTGAAGTGAACTGGCTATTGTTTAACTTTACATACCCTCTGTGGCCTCTGTAGGTTTCCTATCTTTCGCATGCAGGTCTCAAAGCAGGAGGCCATTTAAAATGGAAACAAAGCAGAAGCCGAGAAGGCTCAAGACATCTTTCTTACCACACTGGTCCTAGACTTGAAATACTGACCTCTGGATAGCTTCAGAGTGTGAGAGCCAAACAGAAATGAGCAGGAAGGAGACCGGAGATTTCTGTCCCAGGAAACTAGCCAAGTTAAAGGTAAAAAGACACTGGGCATGGCCACTCACACCTGTAATGCCAGCACTTAGGAGGTAGAGGCAGAGGATTAGGAATTTCAGGCCATCTTCAGCCAAAGAGAAAATTTAGGACCAGCCTGGGCTACGCAAGAGTGTCTCAAAAAAAGAAAGGGAAGAAGAAAAAAAAACCAAGACATTAGTATTCAGAGCCACTTTTGACTGTCTACTGCATTAGGTCCATCAGTCAACAGGCTAACCAGGTGCAGAGAGGCCATGGTTCTGACCACATCCCCACCATTGACCAGGGTGGCTGTTAGTCACAGTCTTCCAGACATTCCTAGTATGCTGAGCCAGACAGGAAATTCTTCAGTAGGGGATCAGGACATGTAGTTTACAATGTCTAATGGAACAGCAGAAAAAAACAAGCCAAGATTCTAAAAAATCAACAAGATTCTAAAGATCAAGGAGTCGCAAGGTCCCAAGATTAAATGAAGAAAGGGAAGACAAAAGCCAACATGATATTTTTTAAAAAATTCCTAAAAATGCTTATAATCCTAACACTCACTGGGGCAGGAAGATTGAGAGTTCAAGGCCAGCCTGGGCTATATCCTGAGTTCCAGGGTCGCCTATGCTAGAACAATTCCCTGTCTCAAACAATCTATATATATTAAAATAAAAAAAAAATTCAAACAAAGAACAACAGTGATAATTGTTCTTGATAATCTGAGTTCAATCCTGAGGCCACACTGTGGAAGGAGAGAATTGACTCCAGCAAGGCATCCTCTGACCTCCACAGACGTGACATGGTATATGTGCCTCACACCACACACACACACACACACACACACACACACACAAATAGTGACCAAAGATTAGCTGGGTGTGTAATCCCAGCATTCGGGAGACTGAGGCTTGAGGAGCATGAGTTTGAGTCCAGGTGGGCTACACAGCAAGACCCTACTCTACCCGCCCCTAAAAAAAAAAAAAAAAAGTTAGAAGAGAAAGCAAGAAAGTCCGGGTGTGTTCTAACTGATAACTGCCAACCGGGAGAAATGCTAGAGACAGCTGCTTGCGACAGAAGCATGGCCAGCACAGAACTTACTTTCATTCTTCATCTTGTCGAAGTAGGCCAGCTTGGAGGCAGCGTAAATGGCACCAGGTGACTGCAGCGTGCCAACCACGGCATCCATAAGCAAGACATTGGTCAGTGCTTGCTGGACATACTGTGGGTCCTAGGACAGAAGCAGGTGTGCATCAGCCCAGTCTGAATCCTGAAAGCCTCTTGGTTTTGCCTCACTGAAGAAAGCGGCATTCCTCAAAGTGCGTTTGTCAAGGCAACAGAGAGAGTCTGAATGGATGAGGAGCTTGGGGTCTGTGTCACGTAATCTTTTCCTCTGAGTTCCTGAAAGCTCTGGTGGTTGACTCCTGGAGCCAGGGCATTTTCTTCTCTAAATTGCCCCAACCACACTAAGACAGCCAGGGGCGTTTCCTAAAGCAAGAGCTGTGACTACACCCAGTGACAGGTGAGGGAATAGGCCCACCACGGCCTTTTGCCATTGTATAGCTAATCTGCATATCACAGTGGGTTCGGAACTGAACAGGGCTCACCAACACAGAACCTTAGGTCTGAATCCACTCCTGAACCATGACGGAATAACCTGTCTCAAGGGGCTGACCACCTCTGCGGACAACAGACAGCCTGTTCATTCTATGATGTGCCACAAGGTAAGCACCATCGTCACCCACATTTCTCCGGTGCCTGGTGAGGCTACAAATCCCTACGTACCCTTAGGAGCAGTTCCTCTGTGTGAGCTCTCTGATCGTGGCCTTGGTCTGTTTGGTTTGGTTTGGTTATGCGACATGGTCATGCTCTATAGCCCGGGCCATCTTCAAACTCCAGACCCTCCCAGCTTAGCCTCCTGAGTCCTGGGATAACAGGTACATGCCACCACAGCTGGCTGGCTTGACACATGGTTTCCCTGCCATTCAGGCAATATGAACACCTCCCCCGGCCCTACCCCCAACTCCCTGGGCTATCACCAGAACTGAGTGTACACAGAGGGAAACTGACTAAGCCTCGGCTGCAGCCTTCATGTCCTCCTCACACCCCAAAGGCTACGTGGTCTCGGGTGGGGTCACAGAGCCACAGCAGCCTCTGTGTCCCTGCAGACGGCATAGCTCTCCTGCCCAGGGGTGCTAGGCCTGTGCTGCAAGCTTTGGATGCCCCCTTCAGGACCGGATGCCACCCGTGCCCACAGGACCACCCCCCCACCTCAGACCTTGTGGTCGTCTGCCAGCTTCTTCCCAGCCCACATCTCCTTCACCATCAGGTGCCAGAGGTCACACTCAGACTTGAGGTTGGCCTCGAAGGTTTCCTTCTTGGCTACCGTCTTGATCTTTAAGGTGGGTATCCTCAGGAGGAGAAATGCTGCTGTGGTGTTTTTGACTTCCTGCAGGACAAGGACAACATGAGGCCGCAGGGAGGACACATGGGTTGATGGCAGGAGGGAAGAAGTGGCTTGAAGGTGCCACAAAGGAGGGCAAGTCTGGCCAAAGCATTGGGCACATGTGCCCCTTACAGCCTTTTACTGTTCTCTGAGGACTTCTGGAGCCAGCCAGCAAAGCAGGCAGGATCTACAGCTGCAGGCCTTGTGGACATCCCAGTGGCCACTGGTCTTGGTCCTTTTCCTGCTGTGACCTCTCAGAAGTTGAGAACACTTGACACCCCTAACTTGCCTCCCCTAGGCCTCGAGCTTGGAACAGTAATTGCAACCATAAGGCACAAAATAAAAACATCAGGGTCCCAATTCACTGCCTTTTTTTGTTTGTTTTGTTTTGTTTTTGTTTTTGTTTTTTTTAGACAGGCTCCATGTTACCCACACCAGCTTCAAATCTGTGGAACAATCCTCCTGCCTCTGACTCATGAGTGCTAGGATTACAGACACACATTGACACACCTAACCCAGACCTTTTCCTTTGGAGTGATGTAATGTGGCCGAGAATCCCAGGAATCCCTGAGGCAGAAGCAGGCAGAGCTCTTCTCAGCTCTACACAGTTCCAGGACAGCCAGGGTAACATAGACAGACCTTGTCTCCAAAAACCAAAAACGAAATAAAATAAGATGTGGCCAAGATACTTGGCAGCAAATGCCTGTAACCACAACATTTAAGAGGCAGGAAAAGACTGCAAGCTCAAAGCCAGCCTGGGCTACATAGAAATTCTTGATCTATATATATATATATATATATATATATATATATATATATATATAGTCTATAATATATTAATATATTGTCTACTATATAGTATATATTTTATATATAACATATGGCTAATATATTGTATGGATATATCATATATGCATTATATGATATACAATAATATATTACATATGAATATATATTGTATATATGCTGTACCCATCTCTCAGAGATGAAGTCATTCCTAGCCATCCATCTCTGGTTAGAAAGTGAGAACCAGCCTTACCGTGTACCTCCAGACATGGTCACTACAGTGGCGTCGGGTGAAGAATGCTGTCCTCCTGCTCCCCCCCCCCAATCCTGCGCCAGGGGTGGGTGCCACAGCACCCTTACTTGAGAGCTGAGCAAGCTGGGGCACAGGAAGGCACACAGTACTGAAGGTGCAGCCTCACCTCTATATTCCTGAAGGTGGCGATCTCCACATAGCCCGGCCGCCCCTCGGGGAGCAGGAACAGGCGTTTCTGGGTCATGGCAATCTTGCCAACGCCACGGTTGGTCTTCACGGAGCTCGACAGCTTGTACACGCACTCGTTCTTATCCAGATGTTCCATCAGCAGTGCAGGCAGGCTGACCTCCTGTGCCTCTGCTTCTGTCTCCTTCCAGCACGTGTAGAAATCTCTGAAGGTTTCAGGGTCAATCTGTTTCTCGTGTCCTGGGTTTAAGGGGAGAGATTTCGTTGGGACTGGAGCACGAGGGCTCACTACCCAACCCAGGCAGCAGGTGGCACCAGTGCCTGGGACTCTCTGGATGGACAGTTTCGCTGAAGGCCTTTGCCGGCCCCATTTGTGGGACAGAAGATTTAGGCAGAGGCCATCTGTCCCTTCTAGCCCACAGGGGGATGGCCATCTGACCCACCACACAGAGACATGGTAACTGCAACAAAGACACTTTTTTTTTTTTTTTTTTTTTGAGACAAAGTTGTACTGTCTGGCCTGAAACCCACCGAGCACAAATTCTCTGATCCTGCCATCTGAGATTACAGGCATGTTCCACCGTGCCTGGCATACAGCCTCCCTCTCTCCTTAAGCTGCTTTCCTTTGGGATAGAGCCTTCACCTGCACTCAAGACCTGCCAACGCCTCACTTTCCACGTGTACCTTAGCCTGGTCCTACCTGGCTCATGTGACCTGAGCCTGTCTGTTGCTCTGTGTCTTCTCCCAGGCCCTCCATCCTACACAGGCCACCCCCTGCTCGGCTGCTTTTTCTCAGCCTCCACAATTGATCCTCTAAAGCACGAGTGAGCCTTCCTGCTCCTCATTCAAACCTTTCTGGACTGTCCAACCACACCAGACCTCAAGTTCCCCCAGACTGTCCCCCCTCCCCTTTCACACTTCATACTCCAGCCATACCAAGCACTACCCCCAAACAGGCCATGTTGTTCTGTGCCACTGTACAGGCTCATCCTAGCCATCATGCCAAGAAAACCCTCCTCCTCCCTCAACAACCACGAGAACAGCACCGTACACAGCCTTCCCTGACAACGCAGGTCATTCTGGCAGCGCACCCACCAACTGCACACGTACTTCCCTCGGGACGCCCACGGATTCAACAACACCCACCCTCCGTGGAGCACAGAGAATGCCAACTCATCCTCATAGCCATCACCTATGGCAGCCACACTCATCAGGCTTGTGTATAAACTAGGAAACAAAAGCCAGAAGAACAAACCTGCCCTCTGACGCCTGGTCCCTGTTTATTCAGAACCTGTGTCTCACTGTGGCCCGGCTCACTGTGCCCAGCCTTCAGGGGCCCAGGCCTGGGCTAGACATGGACATATGCAAGGGGACAGCCATGTGCATTCAGGCTGTGGAGGATGTGAAAGGTTCCAGGGGAAATTTCCAAACACAAGGGCAGCTGAAGCCACAGGAGGCAGGCCCAACAGGAAGGAAGGGCTGCCCTCAAGCCTAAGGTAGCACCAGACTGTGCGCATGGGAACCTCCACCAGGTGGCGCCATCTCTAATTCTTTCGCTTTCAGCGTTATCATCCAAGGTAGTTGAATAATGTGTATTTTAAGTTACTTTTCTGTTCTTTTGCAGAGATTGGGGTTGAACCCAGGGCCTTGCCCATGCTAGGCAAGTGTTCTTCCACTGGGCTACCCTCCAAGCACCATGTAAGCTTTGAAGTCACTGGATCCAGTGAGAAGCTAATGTCACCTGGGGTGGGGGTGTGGCACCCATCTGTAGGATGTTTAACACACAGTAAGTGAAGAAGACAGTAAGTGAAGAGAGAATGGGATCATCCCATGCATGGTACAAGCCGCTGCATTCTCCTTCACCGGATAAGGAGCTCAGTGAGGTGGCTCACAGCTTCACAGACACCTCCTGCTGGATGTCTCTCCGCCGCTTGACAAACACTGCGTTCTGCAGCCTGGGTGCAGACTGACTGAACTTGAATCATAAGCACATGTTTCTCCCATTAGGAATCACAGAAGACAGGCTTTGAAGTTCCATGGGGTGCAGGAAGAGGCCAGGAAACAGAACGGGGGCGGCGGGTAAGGGCGATCCACACCATCGCTTGAAGGAGTGAAAAGGCCAGGGATCCTTCATGCACATCCCCCAGGACCGGCCCTCTGGGCACCCACGCCACAGCCGTCAACAGAGCTGCACGCAGTAAGGCCTTTGCAACCAGCACCCAGAATGTCCTCTTACAGACGAGTGGGGTGCCCTTGGAGCTAAGGGGCTCACGTGCTCTGAACATGCAGAGCAGAACAGCAAGACTGTATCCACTGTATTCTTTTTGGGGGGAATGGGACACTGGATGCTGAACCCAGGGTCTTGCCCCCACGAGGCAAGCGTGTACGCTTGCGTCTCACAAGTTTGCTCTAAGATGGGAACGTTCACCTTTGCCAAGTTTTACTTTCAGCACAGCCACTTGACTAAAACCCATGTGCACTCGCAGCAGTGACAAGGGCCACTCACAGGTCAGCAGCAGAGAGAGAGCTATCCCCAGCACAGAACACAGGCAGAGCCTGGCATTATGGCTCACAGAAGGAAGCCAGCATGGGAGCGGAGGGCTGAGGACAGCAGCTGGCCAGTGCCAGCTCATGTAAGACAGGAAGACTACTGTGGCAGTGAGGCAGTGGGCAGCAGAAGCCTCACAGGTGGGGCAGCACACGGTCAGGTGTTGACACTCGGCTCAACCGAGCTTCTGGCCCTAAGCTGAGGGACAGCTGTCAGGACCCCCCTGTCAGTGTCTGGAAAGACAAAAATCACAGGACACCTTCCGGTCACAGGTGATAGGTAAGCTGTTTCCTTCACATGGCCAGCAGACAGCGAAGGTGCAGGGAACATGGGTCAGTGAGAAACAGAGTAGGACTAAAAACTTCCACAGATGGCAGGACGCGGTCCGTGAGTGTAAAACGTTGCCTGCCTGCTGCTGGGAGATACCTCGTCATTGGAGATTTTTAAGCGGAACAGAAAGCAAAGCCGAGTTGGGAACAGTGCTTCACTGGGGACACAGAGCAAAGCCAAACCCAAGAAGCCAGGGCCTTGGGGTAATGGGAGTACCAAGGCCCTCTTCCTCAGGCATCAGGCGCTTCTGTGTGTGCGTGAACACTTCGGCTGGACCACAGCTGTGTGGCCGATGCACAGTCCCTGGGTCAGATGCACCTACAGAGACAGCCAGCCTCACCCAGAACTCAGCCTACTGCACCGTGCAACTTCACCTGCAGACTGGGCCGGAACGTGTGTGCACTTTGAGCTGTGCGTAACATCCTGCCACATAATGCCAGCAAAAGCTGCCTAAAACACTGACTGGGACTGGAAGCAACTGGGCCTCGTGAGTGATCATGTCTTCAACATACGAAGTTTTCTGCTCGTACAGACACGTGCTGGTTTAATTATAGAAGAGGCAGCCCTCTAATATCTTCTTACTGTCATTACTCAACATGTAAACAGCAAATCAGTATATCTTTGCATTGCGTTGTCTTAGAATATTTTACCTTAAAATGGCTTTTTTTAAGCTTGAGCTCCTGGCTTAAACCTGAGAGGCTGATTTAAAGAAAATCATTAAGTGAATCCTGGCTTGGAATTAGAATGGAATTTCAAATAATTCCTGAAAGTAACCTAAACATACCTCTACCATTTTTACTAAGTATTTATGCCCAGTGGGATTCTAGACATTGATGATTGCAAAATCAAAATATCAACTTTGAAAAACACGAAAGGCTATGCCCTGAAGAATAGAATATTCAACTAAGATTTTACAACATTTTTTTTTCTTTTAAGACAGGGTCTCATTCTGTAGCCCATGCTGACTCAGAACTCACTATGTTGTCTAGGCTGGCCTTGAACTCACAGTTCCTCCAACCTCAGTTGTCCCAGTGCCAAGACTGCAGACAGGAGCCTCTGTTGTGGTTGGTTCTGAAGCCACTATTTATTCAAATGTTGATCGCTTGTCCCAGAGATCTTTACTGTTCTACAAGCAAATGCTCACATATGCTAAGTGATGCTTTGCAACCTTGCCTCCCAAATTATCCTTGATTGCCAATAAAATTGCCCATACCTAGGCTGGGCAGAACAGAGGTAGGTGGAGCTAAGGTTCAGGGGCTGGGAGGGCAGAAGGAGGGAGAAGAGGACAGAAGGAGAAAGGAAAAGGTCATCATGGGTCAGCACATGGCCAGGAGGAACTTGCTCTGAGAACGGACATGATAGTTAGAAGCAGCCCAAATTGAGCCTGTGCAGGTATTTCTAGCAATACTGGACAGGATGTGTGGCTGGGCAGTAACAAGGTGGCTGAGGGGTTAAGATCTGCCCAGCTTATTATTATTTAAGGCTTATTAAACATCTAACAGGTTTCTATGTCATTTATTTCTGTGATATCAGGTTAAATAATAACGGCTGCATTTAATAATCATATGAATCAATATCAAATAATCATAAGTTTTCAACAAGCCACAATGCCCATCTTCAGGATGTAATTCTTGGCCAGGCAAAATGGATCACACCTTTAATCCCAGGACTTAGGAGGCAGGAGCAGGATGATCTTTGTGAGTTTGAGGCCAGCCTGGGCTACATAGTGAGTTCCAGGACAGCCAGAGGTATGCCGAGCTAGAGAGATATGGCTCAGTGGTTAAGAGCACTGACTGTTCTTCCAGAGGACCTAGGTTCATTTCCCAGCACCCACATGGCAGCTCACAACTGTCTGTAACTCCAGTTCCAGGGGGTCTGACACCCTCACACAAACATACATGTATGCAAAACACCAGTGCACACAAGATAAGACTATATAAATTAAATTTAAAGATTTAACTTTTTATGTAAAAATAAGCAAGCACATTCATTCTCAGTACTTGGGAGATTTACTTTCATCATTTTTTTAAATATAGATTTTTAAGATAGTTTCCCGGGGGGGGGGGATTCTCAACCTTGTTATGTAACCGAGAATAACTCTGACCGTCTGATCCTCCCACCTCTTCCTCTTAGAACTGGATTACAGTTGTGGGCCACCATGCCTGGTTTACTATAGATGCTGGGGTTGGACCCAGGGCTTCAAGCATGAGAGGCAGGCACTCTGCCAACTGAGCTCCATCCAAGCCCTGCTTTTCTCTCTAATCAATGTCAATATTATACTGTACACAACATAATTAAAAAACATCCTTCTTTAGGACTTATTATCAGCACATGTTTTGCACTTATTTGCACTTATTCTTATTTACCTAAAAGAGTCTTGAGTGAAAGTGGTCATGAGTGCAAGTTTAAGAAGCCCTGGCTTGGGACTAGAGAGATGGCTCAGCAGTTAGGAGCACCGAGTTCAATTCCCAGCAACCAGAATGAGATCTGAAGCCCTCTTCTGGTGAGCATCAAAACAGAGCACTCATATACATAAAATAAATAAACAAATCCTAAAAAAAAAAAATCCCTGGCTTGGGGAAGAGTGACAAGAAAACAAAACAAAACAAAAAACCCTCCCCATGTTAGGTGAGGACACAGCTCTTTTTAACACTTAGAATCTTTAGGGGGCTGAACTGTAGCTGTAGACCTGCAGACCCAGAGGACATCAGTTCCCAGGGGTGCTGTAGGGCCCTCTTACCCACAGTCAGTGCGTCAAACAGGCGGTGGATGATGACGGCGTCCTTCACGATCCCTGACTCCTGGACCCGCTTCACGAAGTCATTCAGTTGCATGTGCTTTTTGGGCAGTTCAAAGTTCTTCACGGCATCATCCGCCTTGGGGGCCTCGCCGGGCTTATCCAGGACCTCTGTGATGAGCCGCCTAAGCTCAGGTGTCCGCTCGGCCTGGGCGCGCTCGGAGGCTGACATGGACGCCACCACGCTCTTAACAAGGTCAGCTGGGAAGATGCCTATGTCAGTCTTATACAGGTTCTGGAAATCCAAGAGGGCGCTCAGCAGTTGACCCTGCATCAGATGGATAAGGCCACGCAGGTAGAAGTACCTCGCTAGGAGCAGAGAGTCACCAGGGCCCAGCAAGCTCATGGCCTTGCTCAGGAGAGTGACGAGGTCCGTGTAGTACGCCTGAACACACTGGGTCACCAGCGGGAAGTGGATCTCGGGGATCTTGAATGTATATGTCAACTTAGGGGTCACTTTGAGAACTGAAAACAATCAAGGATGCATGCAATTAGCGTGGTCCTGGAGAAGGCAGAGGGGCACCCATCGTGTCACTGTTGAGGGCAGCATTGTGTGCCTTGGACAAGAAGCCACGTGCCCCTTCCAGGGCATTCCCCATACCCCAGGGGTAAAAGAAGAGACCGTTTTGTTCCCAGAGTAACAATAACTACTCTCCATATTTTTTAAACTATGAATACTAAGTGAAAACGCTGGGCCTGGGTCTCTGAAGATTAAGCTAATAACCTAAGCCAAGATATAGCTGCCAAGTAGGGCTCAGTCTTCGGAAGCATTTGTCAACTTAACGGTGGCTCTGGTCAGTGGCAGCATGGCACTCACACTGCATGGATTCAAAAGGCAAGGACTGAAGAGACCAGGGCTCCTAGGTACCACGGGCCTTCCAAAGCACGATCTGAAGCCTCCTAGGGACTAAACACTGACCAGGAGTTGAAGTCCCTCTCCTCCCAGGAGTGTCCTTGGGACAGGGGACCAGAGGCAGCAGCCAGGCCATCCACCCCAATGCCAGAGGTGGCATCTTGGCTATGGAGGCCAGAGGACGGTGGTGCCTGCAATGGTGGAGGAGCTCCAGAAGACGACAGAAAAGGCAGGCTGTGTCCCCCAGAGCGGGTGTGCACGCATCTGCCAAGGCCACAAAGGAACCAGTCTGCTAGGGGTCGCACAGCTGAGAAGTGGCTGCAGAGGGGCTCAGGCTTCCTAATGCTCTGAGCTCTGAAACTTCCTCATTTGCATACTGTCTCTCCAGACAGAAAGCTCTCTGGGGGCTCAGAGCTTCCTGGAGACGCCTACAGCCTGAGCCAGAGGCCGCAGCCATCAAGGGTCCTTGGTCCCACCAAGGACTCAGCAGGGCTCACGGTACAAGTCAATGATGTAACACAGAGCAGAGCGAGCCTTGGGAAGTTTATGCAGAAGTACAACATGGCTCGTAAGTATCTAACTGCACCCTTTAGGAAGAAACTGCTATCCAACGAGGAGCAGACCATTGGATACCTGCAAATACAGACATGGACTAAATGCATAATGCACACACACACACATGCAAGCAAGCAAGCACATACGTCTGCATGCCAGTGAGGAGGGGGAGGACATGGATACAAAATAATTTAAAAAAAAAATAGTTTTGGTTTTGCTTTGTTTTGCTTTGTTGTTGCTGTTCATTTTTTTAATGGCGGAAGGCCTCCCAATCTCACAATGACCACACTTCCCTGCAACCCAGGCTGGTCCTTCACAAGCACTGATCCTGCCCTAGCCTCCCGAGTTGAGAGAATTGCAGGCGTTCGCCACCATGCCTGGCCAAAGTAGTTTACATTTTGAATTACATTTGCTCCCTCTGAACCAGGCTATGTTCTGTGAACTGCGATGTTCAGAGGGTGGATGCAGGGCGGGAGCCTCCTCACCTGGACTGCTGCTTTTGCAGCTTGAGGTGTCCATTATCCTAAGCGACGAGTTCCTGGGTGGCAGCTCGGGTAGGGAGATGTCCTGCAGATTGGGCATGCTGACGACCATGCGCCTGTGCGTGAGGTGCAGGGGCGAGGCCTTCCTGGAGGCCATCTTCTCCACAGTGGGTCTCCTTGGACTTAAAAGCATCCCGTCTATCCTAGGAAAAAGCAGAAGTTCGCTCGGTGGGCACAAAGATGAAAGCCTCCATGACCCACCCCCGAATCCAGAGGAATGAGCAGGGTGAGGTTAGAGGACGCATATGTGAAGGCTCACAGTGAATTGCTCAATATCCTGCTGAACCGATCGCTTGTGTGTCCCAATAAAACTGAGCCCTCTGTTCCCAAACAGCTGTGTACTTAGAACAGAGTGAGGTACCTGTCCTCCTCAGACTGGGTGTCGAGGTCCATCCGAGCAAAGGCGTCCATCCTACCGTTGAGCCGGGCCTTCAGGAAGGAGTGAAACATGTAGGTATCCAAGGCCTGCATGTGAGAAAAGCTGTCAGACTGTGCTCGTGGTCCTGGGGCCTCCATCCAACGCCTACAGCAGCCCCACTGAGGTGTGACCTCTCTCTTCCTCACAGCCCCCTCTGGGCAGAGGTCTGAAAACAGGGAGCTTCATGACTGGCTCTCTTTAAATTCTATTTTTGTTTTTTGGTTTTTTTAGATTTATTTATTTTTCGTATATAAGTGCTCCAGCTGCAGGTATGCCTAAAAGCAGGAAGAGGGCATCAGATCCCAGTATAAATGGGTTGTGAGCCACCAGGAATTGAACTCAGGACCTCTCGAAGAGCAGGTAGTGCTCTTAACCTATTTTCGTTATTTTTAGCAATGTGTCTATGGGTACGTGCAGGTGCCTGCAGAGGCCAGAGGGGTCAGATCCCCTGAGATTAAGGTGTGAGTCACTCAAGGTAGGTGCTGGGAGCAGAGCCCACCGGAAGAGCAGTATAGAATCCTAACCATTGAGCCATCTCTCTAGGCTTGCAATCAGTTCTTATGTGCTCACCTGCACCTGGAAAAACACAAAAGTTAAAAAAAATCCTAGGCCACCTGGCCGCTAGGACAGCTGGGCCTGTACTATATGTGCCCCTCGCCCCCAGGACCTCTGGACACTCCACAGCGCTCAGTCCGGCTCTGCCGGCCTTCACAGGCTACCTCAGCCAGGCTCAGGAACGAGGCAGCCCCAGGGTCCTGATCCCATAAGGACGCCCCAGCACTGCGGCTGTTTCCACCTGGATATGTAGCTAAGCCATCTGTCAGGGAAGCTCTTGGATTACAGACTGACCCCCACCCCACCCCCAACAAAGGCAGGAAAAAGAGGTACAAGGTGCCCAGATCCCCATGGGAAGGTAGGGGTACAGAGAGATCCAAGCCAGGGACCCAAAGGCAAACACTGTAGGAAGGCGCAGAAGAGACACAGGCACAGGCTGCACGAAAGTTGAAGGGAGCACCCTGAATAGCCAGAGAACCCAGCGCTATGGATAGCCCTCTCCCAGATGGCAGGACCACAAACTGACCTAGGACACCAGGAGGGTCACAGGGCAGAGAAGAGGAGGAGGGGCACACAAGAGCCAGCGGGAATCACACATTACATGTTACCCAGTGGATGGCTTAACCTGTACCCTGGAGACAGGTGACTCTGCCCACCTCAAAGATGTCAAAACAAACCTGCAGGGGTCCACAGGGCTGCCCTGCTCGCTTTGTAGGATGGACAAACAAGTCATTAAAGGTTGGGCAGAAACAGTGGGCTCCACCCCAAACTCAGGCTAATGTCAAGGAAAATGCCAAGACACGACTAAGGTCCTTCCCTGAGAGAAAGAAAAAACCAGCAGTGCTCAGACTGGCATGGAGCAAAGGCTGGCCTAGGCTGGAAGATGGTGACAGGGAGAGGGGACTGAGGCCCTGACTAAGGCTATGGTCACTCAGTTATTCACATGGGCCACAATCCATCAAACCACACGCGTAATACCGCGTCTTTTATTCGATGTAATTTAAAAATGAAGCAGCCAGCTGGGCAGTGGTGGTGCACACCTTTAATCCCAGCACTCAGGAGGCAGAGGCAGGCAGATCTTCATGAGTTCCACAGAGAAACCCTGTCTCAAAAAATAAAAAAATAAATAAAAGAGGCAGCCAGGGAACAGCCATCAGACAAAAGAAAAAGCAAACAGCGAATACAATTGGTAAGACATGACTAGATCACGAAAAATCCTTCTTTGTGAAACATTTCAACACAGAGGATTAGGTGGGTGGAGCCGCCCCGGCCCCATCCCTCCTACCTGCTTATAAAACCGCTGGTCCCCTGCCGCTCTAGTCTTGAGAAACTCTTCGCTGTTGAAGACTCGGTGCTCATAGTTCAAGTGATTCTTCACTTCCCTAGCAGAGAGAACGTGGATCATGTGCTGAGCCGCCTCGGCGCTCTAAAGGCACTGTGCTCTTCCCAGCTTACTGGATCCCAGAATGATGGGATGGACTGTGTGGTCATCATCACTTCTCCGACCAGAAGAGGCCAGGAGCCAGCGCTGCCTCCACCTCCTTGAACCTCAGCTCTTTATGCTGATTAAGACTAAACAATCGGCTATTGTGCTATAAAAGCCATTGTGTTCAGGGGTCAGTTTGGAGGAAGAGGGCAAGTAAATGCTGCGGGCCCTTCAGCCACCAGCCTGTCCAGACAAGCCTCTCCTCCTCCCCATAACCATCTCATCTTTTCATGGGAGTTCAGTTTACGATCATCTCCCCCACGCTAAAGTGAATGCTATAAATAACTACTGGATGGTCTGGAGGATATGGCCAGGCGGATGTGCCTGGTGTCTTCCTTGCACTGTGAAAATGCATTGGTCTAGGGATAGAGTTTTACAGCCTGAAATCTTCTCTTCTTCCTGTTGTTTTGTTGGGGCAGTGGGGAGAGTCTCACGTAGCTCAAGCTAGCCTCAAACTCTGAGGGTAGCAGCCTTGTACTACAGATCTTCCTAGCTCCGCCACCTTCCCAGACTCTGGGATCACAGGTTTGTACCACCACGCTTGATTGTAAAGTATTTTGTAGGGGTTTTTTGTTTTTGTTTTTTAAATAAAACACTCAATTATAAAATACTTGTCTCCCAAAAGTAAAAAAGAAACATACCCAGGACCATGCATTGAGCAAAGAAACAATACAATCTGTCTCTGACACACCACCTCATTTTCTTTCTCCCTGATAGATTTGCTTTATGTTAGTGAAGACATAAAAAAGACAAGGCTGTTTGTTTAAGCTTTACTTTGGAAATAATCAGAGTACTGAGAAAGCCATGGCTCTGTGCAAACCCCTCCTGAGCAGTCGCCCCTCCAGAACACACCAGAGCCCCCTTTGCTGTGGATGCAGGGAGCAAGCAGCAAGAAGGGAAAAGGATGCTTGCAAGAGAAGGAAAGAGCTGAAAGAAAGAAAAGGCTCTAAGCTGTAATCTAATTCCTTAAGTGACGGGTGTTAAGGCCAGAAGTAACCGCTTCTGAACTGTGCCACATTCAACACACAAACTTCACTTGACTAACTTAGCCAATGCTAGTCCAGGACTTAGGCAGCGCAGGCACACCCTGGCGGTGGGCAATGTCAAAGAGCTTCCCAGCAGGAAAGCCCACACGCTCCTCTGTCCTGAGCCCTTTGGATGCTTCACCCTCTGGTTTCTGTCCAGCTATGACCCAGCTGTCTCTTCACAGCTTCAGGAACAGACTCTCCCTGGACTAACCCCAAGCCCTCAGCCAGAGCACACAGGCACCATCTCCCAGGAAGCCAGCTTGGAAACAGTGCCCAGTGATAGGAGAGACAGGCGATCAAGGCTGGAGGGTGCCGGGCGGGGTTATGAGGAGAGGTTTGGGAATGAGCTCAGAGGACACTCCTTGATCTGCCATGATCCTTAAAATACCTGAAGATGCCAACGAGCAGCTGGAGGGCAATGTGCTGAATCTTGCAGTTGAGCGTCTGCTGCCAGGCTCGGCGGCGGGCGCGGCCCTCATTCAGGTCGGTGCTGGAGCTCAGGTGGGCAAGGTGCAGATCCGGGTGCAGCTGGAGGCTCTGGACTCTGGTAAAAAAGCAGACTGAGCTGAGCGCCCGGTGTGACGTAAGCAGAAGCCAGGTGGATGAGCCTAAGAAGCTCTGATGCCAGCCAACAGTGTGAGAGAACATTAAACACTGGGGGCTACAAAAGTACATTCACCTCCAAACATCAGCACAGGAAGGCCTTGCTTCAGACCCAAGCAGGCAGGCCTCCTTCTAAGACACATGGCATTTCCTGTGTCAGGGCTGCTAGGAGCGCCAACCACAGCTACCCAGCAGCATCTCCTGCCCAGGTAAGATCAGAAGCCACTCTGTGCCCTGCTTTTTATGTCCATTCCTGGCCTAGCACAGAGTGACCCCTGGCTCGTCTGCAGGTCCTCAAGCACAGAAAGGAACTCACCCGGAGCCACCACCAGGCCTGGGGCCTGGCCTTGCCATCACCACCATTTTGTTGTTGTTGTTGTTCTGAGAAGGTTTTAGAGATGTAGCTCTGGGCTCAATCCTCAGCATTTCAAGGATCTAAAATTTGCCCGCAGGAGGCCCTGGGCATCAGCAATCAAGTCCGCTGTTTTAAACAGGCAGAAACAATGCACACATTTGTTCCACAGATGTTCCATGGGCACCCCCTGTAGGTCAGGCACAGTCCCAAGTGTGAGCCGGGCAGAGGCCCTACTGAGTGGATCTGATGCCACAGTAGAGGGAAACAGAAAACAGAGAAGACAGCCAGGAACAGGAGATGATAGAGGGACAGCAGAGACCCCGTGAGGTGAGGCTATGAATATGAGAGGGTCAGACTATGGGAGGAGAGGGGCCCTTAAAAGGTGGACCCTGTTCTGTGAGAAGCAAGACACACGGTAGTGAGAGCCCCTAGGGGTGAGGTGGAGGAGAGGCTCTTGGGTGCCCTCAGCGCTGCCATGAGCACAGTGAGCCTGCAGGGTCCAGTGTGGCTCATGACCATAAGGAGCAGGTGCAGGCTGGACTGGTAACCTTGGATTGGTTCCTAACATACTAACTAAGAAGCCGTCCTGGGTGGGTGTCCCAGCCCTGCTGACCTGACTAGTGTGACCCCCCCAACCCCCCCGGTCCTTCCCTGCCTAACAGGATTATGACAACTGCACTTTAACACCAAACTGACTTTCACCAGGCAGAACACAGGGCCGGGAACAGGAGGGACAGAGCGTCAGTGACTCCCCTGCATGAACCACACAGCCATGCTGCCTGCAGCGTGGGGTCTTCCGAGCCTTCTGCTTGGGCACAGTTGGGTGCAAGAAGCTGCTCCCTGAAGGACCTTGTCCTTCCCTCCCGCACACACTGAGCCAGCACAACCCAGACGGGGGCCTTTATCCCTGACCCACGGTGAGGAACATTTCCCATCAGCAGAGCGGGAAGAACACTGTGGCCCAGGACCTCTAGGGGAATCTGGGAGTCTTTCTTTCTAAACATTTAAAATTTTTTTATTCGGTTTTTAATTTTATGAGCATTGGTGTTTTGTCTGCGTGTATGTCTGTGTGAGGGTGTCAAATTCCCCTGAAACAGGAGTTACAGACAGTTGTGAGCTGCCACATGGATTGAAGCTAGGTCCTCTGGAAGAGCAGCCAGTGCTCTTAACCACTGAGCCATCTCTCCAGCCTGACTTTGGAGTCTTTCAGACTTCTAATGATGAGGGCTGGAGAGATGGCTGAGTGGTTAAAGGGCTTGCTGCTCTTTCAGCTTCAATCTCCAGCATCCGCACGGAGGCTTACAGCACTCTGTACCTGCAGACTCAGGGATACAGTGCCACCCAGGAGGAAAAACACCCATATACATCAATTAAATTTTCTTTTGAAAAGTGGAAAAAAGCCGTTTTAATGATAGAAGGAAAAAAAAAACAAAGCAAGGGTTGGACTTCTACATACAGGTTGAGTGTCCCTTACCCAAAATGCTTTATGTAGTAGCGTGTGGCTCTGTGCTGGCATACTCCCCTAGCAGGCGCTGAGGCCCGGGGTTCTAACCCACCGCACCCCGAAGCAGCCTACTTTGAGAGCAGAGCATTTCCAGCGTGAGAGCCTGCATGCCGGCACGCACCGGTACATCTTTGTACGTGCACTCTGCACATCACTCAGCGCTGGGCCCAAACCTGAACACCAGCTTCATCTATGCCAAGACCCAGCGATGAAGGCGCCTTCCCACAGGGTGCTGGTAAACCTGTGGTTTGGTGTTCAGCTTTTGGTTTTTGGTTTGTCTAGACAGGGTTTCTCCGTGCAGCCCTGGCTGTCCTGGAACTCACTCTGTAGACCAGAGCTGGCCTCAAACTCAGAGATCCGCCTGTCTCTGCCCCTTAGCATGGGGATTAAAGGTGTACGCCATCACCACTTGGCTCCTAAACCTGTGTTTTTAATGTGACCTATCACATGAGATCAGCCGAAGCATCCTTCTGGCACAGAGTCCCCACTCAAAATGTCCAGATTTTGAAGTATTTTAAATCCTGGAGTTTTAGACTAGGGACACATCACCAATAATTAGCAGACACCATCCAGGGAAACTGAATATCCGCAAGGCTAGAGTGAGAGGTCTGGAAGGCCCAGCACACATGCTCAAACACAACGCCCTGACCTCCCAGCCCAGGGCCAAAGGGGCCCAGAGAACATATCTGTGCCTCAGCGCTTAGGGGTAGAGATAGGAAGGTTGGGAGCTTAAGGCCAGCTGTGGCTACATAGTGAAACCCTGCCTGAAAAACAAGCAAGGGCTGCAGTGTAGCTCAGCAGTAGAGCATTCACCTCATAGACCCAAGGTCCTGGTGTGACCCCTAGTACTGAGAAAACAAACAAACAAAAATAAAACAAGAACCACCAAGGAGCCAGGTGACGGTGGTGGACGCCTTTAATGCCAGCACTCAGGAGACAGATGCAGGCGAATCTCTGAGTTCAAAGCCAGCCTGATTTACAGAGTGAGCTCCAGGACAGCCAGGGTTACACAGAGAAACACTGTCTGGTGGCAGGAGGAGAGGGGACCACTAAGGAACTGGTCGTGGTGGCTCATGCCTATGGTCCCAGCACTCAGGAGACTGAAGCAGGACTGCAAGGATAAAGGCCATCCCGGGCTATAAAGCCGGTTCCAGACCAGGTCTACAGAGCAAGACCCTAGATTCAGCCATAGACCTGCAGAGCCACACCCCTGGCCTCGGCAGACGCAGCTCGGCCCAGTTCTTTACCACAAAGTCTAAGACCACCTGCCACATCTGTTCACTGTCCCCCAACCTCAGCGTTGCTTCTAAGATCCACATACCAGGTGAAGTAGCAGCCATGAGACCTGAATAGCAGGATCTCTCCTGCTATTATTTCCTAAAACTTCCAAGAAAAACAGTGCTGGGCGGGAGGCAGCGGAAGCCAAGGGAACAGGATACTGCTGTGTGTGCCACCTGTCCAGCCTAGGACTAGGGCCAGCAAAGGTAGATGTCACAGTGCAACCACCTCCTGGTTTACCAGGAGGGGACCCCACCCTCCCGAGGACGGACGCCTCTGCACTGTGGAGGAGACCTCAGGGCACTCAAAGCATTGGATATCTGAGAAGGTTCACTGAGCTAGCTCCAGGCCGAGGAAGTTTAGTAACTGGAAGAAAAGAACCAGTCCTCAGTCAAGAAACGGGGCAGGGAGGTAAAAGGCCAGTCGTGCTGGCAGAGGAGGTAACCCTCAAGCCGACTGCCCTGAGCATCACAGCATGGGGAGCGTTGCTGAATTGTCACCGACCCACATTTAGCTGAATCCAAACACTTCACGATGTTCTACACCTATCCAGTGAATACATGAATGGGTGATTGAATGATTGAATGAAGGAGTGAGTGAATGAGTGAATGGATGAGTGAGTGAACAGATGAATGAGTGAATGAAGAATGAATGAATGAATGAATGAATGAATGAATGAGTTCAGAGACCATGGCACAGGACCCAGCAGCAATGGATTTAGCATCAGGAAGCTTCCTAAGGAGCGGAGGGCCAATGTCCCCTGACTCTATTAGGCCATGATTCATATTTTGACAAGATCAGAATAAAAGACAAATCATCTTTTTAAAAAAATATTCACAGTGGGTATAGTAGTCCATGCCTTTAGTCGAAGCTACTCTACTCGGGAGGCAGAGACAGGCAGATCTCTATGAGTTTGAGGCCAGCCTGGTCTACATACTGAGTTCCAGGACAGGCAGAACCACATAATAGTGAGACCTTGTCTAAAAATTAAAAATAAAAATAAATTAATTAAAATTTTAAGAGTCAAAAATAATGCCCAAATCCTAACTATGTAAAATACACATCACGATCAGAAATTAGAGAAGTGGCAAATGCAGAACTGGAACACAGTCACAGTCATGCTCCAGAGCACCATTTCACATTACCTCTGAATGAAGGTCTGTGCCAGCAGAAGGGGGACATCGGGGATGTCTATGTCACTGTCAGAGGACTTGGAGCAGGTGACCGTCCCATGGTCAATGTCTATCAGGACCAAACCATCAGCTTCCTGGAAGGCAGAGGTCGATGTCAAAGTCTGCGACTGCACACGCCTTTAAAAAAACCCTCCTCCCTTTGGCCCGGGGCACCCTCCATTCTGCTTTTTGACCACGCTAAGGACCCCGTGTGAGTGGGCCCATGCAGTGTGCCTTGTCACTCTGTCACTCGGCGGTGTCTTAGAGGATCGCTGGACTGCACCAGGGGTCAGAATCCCTTTCATCGTGAAAACTGAGCCGTTCATACGCGGATGGACTGCACACCTTCCCTGAGCTGAGATGCCAAGCAGGTTGTCAAGTTTCCATCACCCCTGGGACAAATGCTACCCGTAATACTTCATGGCGCCTTGAAGGAATATTTCAGAACTCCACGAGTACACCACCCACGCTCAACGGCCAGCATATCACTCGGCCGTCCAGCCAGATCCGCCACCCAGGACCCAGAACACAAGGCCAGGCGGCCTCAGGACAGGGGTGGAATTTCTGAAATTCCACATCGGGGGACTTATGAGGTCTTGTCTGTGACAGCAGGTGCTAGGCATGAGTGAGTGCATAGCTCTAGACTCCAAGGCTCTCAAGTCTGCAGAAAGAGACAAGGGCACTCAGGAGATACTACTCCTACTTTAGCCCTGACCCACCCTTGGGTGGCAAGTGGAACAAAGGCAAACCCGGCCTGTTCTGGACCAAAGTCTGACTGGGCAAACCCGGGTCTATGGTTAGGCACACAGTGCCGTCCTCCAGGCCAACACCAGGAGTGCCTAAGAGGTGCCCTGATCACAAGACTCCAGGGGCCCTCCCAGCTCTTTTCTGCTGATCCCATCCATGAGAAGCAAAACCCCAAGCCAATCCAAAATGCCACTCTTGGAATCTCCCAAACAAATAAGTCACCAAGCTAGTTTCCTGAAAGATTCCTGACTGGAATTGCTACGTATATACGTATGAAAAAAAAAAAATCTTCCTGCCTGAAGAGCCCGAACAAGAGGGCTTTTCATGAGTGACATAAAAAAGAAACACAAGTTTAAACATCAGAGTACTACCCCCCCCCCTTTTTCTTCCTGTCTGGTCCACAAGGCAGGACAGGGTGAGGTTCTCTGCTTCTAACCCTCCCGAGGAGTTCTGCACTTTTCCTAAGTTATTTTCCACAGTGAGTCACTGACTTTGGCAAGAATACACAAGCCTGCCCACCCGTCCACCCCCACAGAAGAAATGGGACAGCCTGGGAGGAGGGATGTCCTTTAAACCTCTAGGAAATATTGGAGAGGACAGGAATCTGAAACAGGCTGACAGCAGACTGCCGGGGGGGGGGGGGAAGGGGCCCTCGGTGCCCAGTGTATCCCCTTCTCTACGTTGCCATACATAAGTGTTCGTAACACAAACCTAAATGCAGGACATGGTGGTGGACAATCCCACAATTCCAGAGGCTGAGACAGGGGGATCATAAGTTCAAGGCCAAGCAGGGCTTCAACAGTGAGTTCTGAACCAGCCTGAGCTACACAGCAAGCCCCCCCCCATTCTCTCTCTCTCTCTCACACACACACACACACACACAATTTAAAATAATAAATCTTTCTACTAAGTTAAATGTAGCTCAGCACACCTATAATCCCAGCACTTCCACAGTGAGATGGGCGGTGGAGACAGGAGAATTACACAGAAGCTCGTGGTCTGGCTACCCTTAAGTTCACAGCACAAAGGCAGAGACAAGAAAGACCCTGCCCCAAACAAGGTGGAGAGTGAGAACTGACTTCCAAACATTGTCCTCTGACCTCTACATGCCATGATATGTATGCCACCGCCCCTCACACACACACATACACACACACAAGCACACACAAATTAAAAAAAAAAAAAAAGCCCAATTCAGTGCTTTTCTCCCTGCCCTATGAAGCTGACAATGTGCATATGAAGAGATGCCAGATACCAGTAGTAACTGAAAATAAGTGACCATTGGACAGCACCGGGCTGCCAGGTTCCCACCCACAGGAGTGCCAGGTCAGAAACAGTGACAGCGCCGGCATGAGATGGCACTGCCCGCTGTCCAGCAGCCGCCTTGGGAGAGGCTGGCAGTACCTAGATGGTCCCAGCAGCACTGGCATCGCAGCCCAAGGGGAATGACCCTTGTCAAGCTGACCGCTGTCCATCCACCCAGGCTCCATGACAGATCACAGTTTGCCCACATCCCAGGGCCAGCACTGGGGAGGCTGAGGCAGGGAGAGTGCAGAGAGGGCTGGACTGCCCTGGGTGGCGACAGTGTGAGACTCTGTCACAAACACACCAACATAACTCCAATTAGCAGCACAGTGACCCTCTATTAAACACCTACAGTGTGCCAGGTGCTACTCTATGCCTCCCTTGATCCTTGTTGTAGCCACAAGGTTAGCAAGCTTGCTGTCCTTTGGTGGCTAAGAGAGGAGGGAGTTTGCTATGTCAATGAGTTCAAGCCACACAAAGAGTGAACTCCCAGACCCAAGGATGTCCCGAACACTGTGACAAGCCCATTGTATGTTCATGCCAAGTGTTAATAAAGCGCAGTGGATGCGCTCAAAACAGCAAAGCAGGGCTGGAGAGCCAGCTCAGCAGGTAAGAGCTCTGGCTGCTCTTCCAGAGGTCCTGAGTTCAAATCCTAGAACCCACATGGTGGCTCACAACTAGCTACAATGGGATCTCGTGCCCTCTTCTGGCGTGCAGGCATACATGCAGAATGCAGAGCATTCATAGACATAAAATAGATAAATAAATCTAAAAACAAAACAAAAACAGCAAAGCAGCGATCTGAGGTGACAACAGAGCGGCCATCTACGAGCCAGCTATGTGCCAAGTTTGGAGCCCTGGCTGGTGACACAGAACTCTGGCCCTTGACTTGCAGGGGTCTCGGTTCCAAACCCATCTTGAGAACGCGAGAGAAAGGAGAAAGAACAAATGAGACTGCACAGGGTGCACTCGTAATGGCACCCGGGGCAGAAGCCACGGTGCACTGTGTGTTGTCTGTGTGCTGTGTGGTGCCCAGAGTGCACGAGCCTACAGACCGATCAGCGGGGCACCCCCGCACAGCAAGCACTCTCTTCTTTGCCTCATGGGGCATGAGGAGGAGACACAGGGCACATCCACCTGCCTCACAAAGGAGTCATGGGGGTTTACCCTCCCCCACCCAACTCAGAGTTCTCCCTCTCACCTTTCTGACTTCTTCAAAGTGGTCGAGATGGCAGCCCATGAGGAAAGAGGTGGGAGCCATGACGAAGTCCAGCATTTGGCCGGACAGGATGGGCACAAAGGTGTGCTGCCACTGCAGGGGGTGCAGATAGGCCACGAAGCACTCGGCAATGAGCGTCAGCAGGGCCCAGTCTGAGGAGAAGAACACGATGCGCTGTTCCGTCAAGATGCAGGTCAGTATCTAGGACAGCAAGAGCACTGTTTGCTTCCGGCTGCTTCGGGCTGGGCATGGGAAGCCCCTCCCCCCAACCAGAGGCTGCTTTTAGCCTCATCCCACATTCTATTTATGAAAACCAAGGCCCTGTGTGAAGCGGTAAGTGTCGGCTCTAAGCACAGGGCACGAGTAATTTGAGTACGTGGGTTCCCAGTTCTGCACTTCCTTTCCGGTAGTTCTGGGGTTCACACCCAGAGGTTGAGGCAAGTGCCCCACCCCTGAGCTGCACCACGGCCGTAGCCCACGCTGTAAGACGAAGTTTAATCCTGTCTAACAAGCAATGCTCCTGGCGCCCACAGACCTGCAACACCTTCTCAGGCCGGAAGCACAGCAGCGGCAGGTGAAGGTCCAAGTCGATGACGGGGCTCTCGGGGTCCGCTCGAGAGGGGAACACAACCTGCAGCGGCTTCATGTTAAATATCTGTGAGGGCCAAGAGCCACTGTTAATTCAGAGAGCTGTCTACAACTGAGGCCAAAACACTCCCCACTGGCCATCTGGACATTCATGAGAAACTGTCCTGGGGGCTAGAGGATGGCTCAGTTGGCAGAACGCTAGCCATGCAAACATGAAGACCTGAGTTAGCTCCCTAGCGCTCACACCAAACCCAACTGTGACGCTACGTGGTTTTACCATCCCAGTGGAAGGCTGGGCATGGTGGTGCATGCCTTTGATCCCAGCCCTCAGAAGGAAGAGGCAGGTAGATTTCTGTGAGTTTCAAGCCACCCTGAGCTATACAGTGAAACACTATCTGGAAAAGGAAAGAAGGAAGGTAGAGAGAGAGAGATCATGGCTAGAAAGATACCTCAGTGGCTAAGAACACTTGCTGCCCTTACAGAGGACCTGGGTTTTGTTCTCAGAGCCCACCTGGTGGCTCAAAACCATCTGCGACTCCAGTTCCAGGAGACCCAATGCCCTCTTCTAAACTCCATGAACGCCAGGCACACACATGGTGCACCTATATACATGTAGGCAAAGCACTCTACACATTAAAAAAACAACAACAACAAAAATAACTAAATATTTTAAAGAAATTTTTTTTTCGAGACAAGGTTTCTCTATGTATCCTTAGCTGTCCTAAATTCACCTTGTAAACCAGGCTGGCCTCGAACTCACAGATATCTGCCTGCCTCTGCCTTCTATAGTGCTGGGATTACAGGCATGTGCCACCAAGCCCAGCTTAAAAAAGAAAATTACCATCACCACCACCATCACCATCATCATCATCCTCATCCTCATCCCAATGCTGGGGAGGCAGAGACAGGAGGATCGCTGGAGATTGTTTACAAACCAGTCTGGCTTACCCAGAAACCCCAGGTCTCAGTGATAGACCCTATCTCATTAAAAAAAGAAAAAGCCCTGAGAACCCCTGAGAAATGGCACCTGAGGCTGCTCTCTGACCTTCACAGGCATGAGCACACACGTGCACCTGAGCACACACAGACATAACATACGTACTCACTGCATAAAACAGAAAGCGCTGAGGAAGGGTAGCCTAAGGCAAGGCCTGCCCTAGAGGACAGTCACGCAGTGACTTCTGCTGGGAACTGCACCCAGGCCTGGCACATGCTAGGCAACTGCTCTCTACAAACCCCAGCCCCAGCCCAAATGACCTTTTGTCCTTTAAATAGGGCTTCACATTCTCCGGGCTAGCCTTGAACTCACAATCTAGCAAAGAATGACCTTGAACTCCTTATCTTCCTACATCTAACTTTCTTAGCCTACTAACTAGTCAGCATGCTGTTCACTGAAGGACAAAGCTTCTTCTTGGCCCTGGCATTTGCACAAGTTCTAAAGTGAGCACGTTGGAGAATTCCTGGGCATCGCGTGTTTGTGTTAGTTACTGAAAGTGCATATCCTCAGTATTTCTCACTGAATACTCACAGTCTTTCTCAAACTTGTGACTCAGAACAACTTAAGTACGACCTATTACTCCACTATTTTGAAATAACACTTCCGTTTCAACCCCGCATTCACAGCGTGCCTAAGCGTGCTAAGAACCCCAAATGGTCATGGAGGAAATCAAGAAGATTTGGTCCCTGCAGCAAGACAAGGATGTCTACACGTCCCCCTGGGGTAGTGTGTGCCTTCCCCTCCCCAGAGAGAATAGAATGATCTGGATGCAGGCAAAGAGGAGATCAGGACCAGGAGGGGCATCTGATCAGATGGAGGGCGGCATCGCTGACAAGAACACAGAGAAGCAGGCTGCACATGCTGCTCAGACTTCCCATCAGTCATGCAAGTCCCTGTGTCAGATGTATTTTCCTATGAAAACGTGGCAAACAAGAAAACACCAAGGGCATCCTAGCAACACATGGCGGCTACGGGCTGGCTAGGGCCGCTGTGTCTCTAGAAGCGAGACCCAATCCAAATGAGGCAGGTGGGTGGGGTGGGGCTCGTGTTTGAACACGGGCCTAGTGCATCTGTGTCTCTGAGTACTCAGCAAAGAATTAAAATACAGTAGCTGGGCCTTGTAGCTCAGGCCTGCAATCCCAGCTATTTGGGAAACTGAGGCAGTGGGTAATAGTCCAAGGCCAGCCTGGGCTACATAGCGAGTTCGTGGCCAGACTGGGCAACTTAGTAACACCCTGTCTCAGATAGCTCAATGGCAGAACACTCGCCAAGCACGGTAAGGCAGTGCACAAACCTAGCAGAACAGCTACACGGTGGAAGAGAGATGGAGGGATATGCCCAGGAGAACCAAGTCTCAGACCCTTTTGAGAGGTGCACAGGAGATGGCCACAGAACACAGAGGAAGATCCCTTCGGCAGCACCCGTGGGCCTTCGCGAGGCTGGAGACCAGTGGAATGAGAGGCATAGACAGGAGGTGGTGAGCTGAAGCAGGGATACAGGGCAGAGTTAAAGATGGGAACGCTGGAGAGGTGGCTCAGTGGTGACGTGCACTTGTTGCCCTTTCAAAGGACCCAGGTTTGATTCCCAGCACCCACACCATAGCTCACAACCATCTATAACTCCTGTTCTAGGAGATCCTATTCCTTCTTCTGGCCTCTGTGGGCACTGGGCATACACCTGGTGCAGATGAGTATATTCAGGCAAAATACTCGCACACACAAAATTAAAATTTAAACATGTACAGTGGGAACCCACCAAGGGTTTCAGGCAGGAAAGCGGGACTTAGGAGCTTTACTCCTGTCTGTAGCCACTGAACAGGGGACATGTGAAGAGCGAAGCAGCAGGCTGTGGCCCCCTAACCCCGTGGGGGGAAGGGCTGGCGTCCTGCAGTGGCTGAGGGCAGTGACTCAGTCAACGGGAAATAAACATGAAAGGTGAACAGTCAGACAGGAGTGACAAGTGAGCAAGAGAGTGCATGCGCACAGGGGGAGTGTGCGAGGTGTCAAGCCACACCCTGAGGAAACTGGTCTTTAAGGAGCGATGCGGAGAAGGCAGACCCAGGGGTCATTCACACGGCTCTCCTCACCCCTGATTTAACTCTGCCCACTGTGTCCTGGTGGGCACGCACGGGTTCGGAGGACACAGTGTACACTCTCCCCGCACCCACCAAGAAAATACCAGCCACGCCACCGAGCATCCTTGTTAGGCCCAGCATGAGCCTAAATATAAGAAGGTGTGAAGAGAACCCAGGAAACTAACCATCCATCGCTGCAAAATCGCAAGAGGTTCATTCTGACCATTGCGCAATGGGGTCACCCCTGCTGGTCAGCAAGGAGTGGCACCGGGAGAGAAAGGCCTTAGGTTTTTAAAAGACAAGGCGCGGGAATTCTAGGGGTTGCCTTCTTGGCAATTCATGATTGGATGAGGTATTTAACTTTTTAAATAATTGGTTGGTTCTGTGCACCCTTAGGTCTGGTCAGCCCTGTCGTAAATATCTGATCTTCAACTCAGTTTGGAATTTCCTGCCATATGAGATATAGCCACAGTTAAAGGTGGGAAAATGATTAATTCATCCTGTGTCTGTTCTGAGGAGTGGGGGTTACAGGCTTTAGATCAAAGATCAGGAGAAGGATTGGGGCCATTTGGCCCAGTTTCCAAACAAAGCTCATCTCACAGGCACCAGCCGGTGATTTTCTCTCCATTTAGTAGAGATCTCTGCTTGTTCTCTTCCTTATCTCTGCCCTCACAGATGGCTAATGTCAGGAACTTTTACATTCCTTGGCTCTCTGGAGAAGCACTAAGAGGCTTTAATTAACATGGGCCTAAAACTTGAAAATATAAGTTATAAGGCAATTAAAGAAACATAGGTTACAAAGGTAGTCTGATTCTTTCATACTAAATCCAAAAAAGAACAAATCCCTAATGCTCCAAAGTCCCAGATGTTCCGAGCACCACCATGAAGCCGCAGGCAGAACACTCGCTGTATGGCATGGGGTAAGCCCAAGTCCAAAGCAGCCACCTGAGCCTGAATGGGAGCTGTGGGGATGCCTCAGCAGCTACCACTGGTCCTCTCAGGACTCACAACCATCTGTAACTCTAGTTCCAGAGGATCCAGCTCCCTCTTCTGGTCTCCATCGTTACTGGGCACACCTGTGATACGCATGCATACATTCAGACAAAACACCCACACACATAAAATAAACCTTTAAATATGTTAATTAAAAGGCTAAGTAAGATTCCTTTCAGGGGCTGGAGAGATAGCTCAGAGGTTAAGAGCACTGCTTGCTCTTCCAGAGGTCCTGAGTTCAATTCCCAGCAACCACATGGTGGCTCACAACCATCTATAATGAAATCTGGTGCCCTCTTCTGGTGTGCAGGTGTACATGCAAGCAGAACATTGTATACATAAAAAATAAATAACTCTTTATAAAAAAAAAAAAAAAAAAAAGATTCCTTTCAGGTTGTGAGGGTAAAGTAAGTATGAGACAGAAGGGTATTTTGTATTTTGACTTCAGTTCCTTCCTTAATATATGTAAATGCACATTCTATCTATCTGTCTGTCTGTCTGTCTATCTATCTATCTATCTGTCTGTCTGTCTGTCTGTCTATCTATCTATCTGTCTATCTGTCTCTAAGGTTTTTCAAGATAGGGTTTCTCTGTGTAACCCTGGCTGTCCTAGAACTTGCTTTATAGACCAGGGTGGCTGACCTTGAACTCAGAGATCCACCTGTCTCTGGAGTGCCGGGATTCAGACTTGTAAAGACACATATTCTAAAGTGTGAAAAAACCTGAAATTCAAAAGGCTTCTGGGGCCAAACACTTTGGATTCAGGATCCATAGCCTTCACCTGCACAACAGCCGCATTCCTTGGGGAGCCCCTGGTGGGGAGCGGTGGCTGGGCTCTCCCCCTCTCAGATTGCTGGGTTTGGAGTCAAATTTAAACACTCACATGGTGGCAGCTCTGTGACATAGAGAAACCCTGTCTCATACAAACAAAAAACACAACACACCTCGGGCCAGGCATGACGACACACTTGGAAGGCGGAGGCAGTGGATCTCTGAGTTGGAGGCTAACCTGGTCTATGTGGTGAATTTCAGCCAGCCAAGGTTACGTACTGAAACCCTGTCTCAAACAAACAAACAAACAAACAAATAAAAAAAAGTCTTAAACAAAAGGAGGAGTCACATAGTCTGTGTGTCTAAATCAGACAGGAAATGCGAAGCAGCGCCCGTTCACACAGCTCAGCAGTCTCCCCCACCTGCTCGATCAAGAGGAATACGAAAAGGCAGGTGCAGGCTGCCTCTTCTCCAACTTGACTTCGGTCGCTGTCTGGATGTGATATGCACCTCACAGACTCATGTTTTTTATACCTCATCCCCAGCTGGTGGTTCTGAAAACAAGGGCTGAGCAGGGCATGGTAGCACCAGCCTTTAATCCCAGGACTCTGGAGGCAGAAGCTGACAGATGGCTGAGTTTCAAGGCCAGCCTGGTCTACACAGACTGAGTTCCTGGATAGCCAGGGCTGCAGAAAAACCCCACCTCAGAAAAAAAAAAAAAAAAAAAAAATGAGGGCTGGATGACTGAAGTGAACTCTGGGTGGGCGTCTGGCCACTAAAGCCCAGACCTGGTTCCTGTCTAGCCTCTGCCTCCTGACCCTCCAAGATGAGAGAAGCCACTACCACACATTCCTACAGCCAGGAACAGCACTGTGTCTTCCCAGCTCCCAGCAGGACGGGACAGTCCATGGAGCCCCCCTCCCCCTTATGGTGCTTCTACCAGCATTCCATTCCAGCCATGAGAAGAGCTTCACTGTGAGACCCTGGGGCCCTGAAAGAGCTAGTGAAGTTTCTTGAGCTGGAGCCCAGCTCGGGAAATACCTAAGTAAGCCTGGTACCCAACATCCAAGACAAACAGAAGAAAGGAGAGCTTCAAACTTAAGTAAATTAAAAGGACTTCCTTAGACTCAAAGTAGGCCTATGTAGTTTCTGAAGAGCAAGAAAGCAGGATCTCACGAGTTAATAGTAAACGGACCAGTCATACATGGCCGGCTCTGCCAGTCACAAACCACTCAGCCAAACCCTAGTTCAAATATCTAACTTTGCCCTGCAGAGGTTGAGTATGTATGTAAAAGCATTCAATGAGAGCTCCAAGAGACCAGCGTCTGGAGAGCAGGTTAAACATGGCTGAAACTTGAAACAGTTAAAAACATTTGGACTCCACAGTCTTCAACACACTACAGAAACACCCAGCACAGTCCCAGGTCTCATTTACCAAGTGGAGCGGGCCAGGTGGTGGACTAGGAATTAACGACAGTCTTGCAGCAAAATCTTTTATGTGATTGTCAACTTCAAAGTCTCTACAGAGCTTCAGATGAGTCAATAAACTGAAAATTGAAAGGGGGAAAGAAAGAAAAAAAAAAACCAATAAAGTCACAAAGTAGAACAAGAGTCCGATTGCCACCCTCAGCTATTTTGTTTTTCTGGGTGCTAATCACACAGGGGCTTGTGAGAAAAATGGCTAGAAGGTGTGTGGATGACTGCATACATGCTACACTTCAGGGAAAGTTAGCAACGTGACGCTTTGAAGTGCCTGACGGAGGTTCCAAAGTGCATCCAGACTTTTAACGTAAAACTTGCAAATGTAAGGGGTGGCCAGGTGTGGTGTGCATGGCTACAGTCCCAGCACCTAGGCCACATAGAGCGACCCTGCCTCAAAAAAAAAAAAAAAACAAAAACCAGAGTCAATCAAGAAATAACAAATAAGACAGGCAAGCGATAGTGTGGGAGGTAGGGGCCTGTCCCATGAGAACTGACTGCTAGTCTTTCCCAATATTCCGTTGCACCTCAATAAGTTGATCTTCATAACCGCAGGCAAAAGTGCGGACGGCACTGAGGGGGATTGGGTCAGTGACAAGCTGACCCTAAGGAGGGAAACCTGACCAGGAGAGAAAGTGACCGTACCTAAGGAACTATCAGGAGCCTGGAGGGCATGGCTGAGTGACATGTGGTGGGCATAGAGCTAAGACAGCACCCACCGGCCCCAGCTTGTCAGGCAGCCCCCCAGGAAAGACAGCCCACTATCACAACCACAGTCAGGCACTTCCTCTTTCACATAAATACCAAATATAACTCCTCACAGGTCTCATGTTAGGACGTAGAAAGCCAATATCCCATATTTGCATTTATTGTAAAAACATAATAACGTCAAGGTAAATTTTTAAAATAAAACTGCCTATAATCGACTGTCCCCAACACGACACATTCTTTCTGAGGTGCATCCAAAGCCTGTTTGGACATGCCACTCTGGTTGGTTGGTTGAGGCAGGGTCGCCTAGAGCCCATACTGGCCCCCAACTTGCCAGTTAGTTAACTCCGGACCCTCCCTCTGAGAGGGCTGGGATGGCAGGTGCAGGCCACCACCCCCCACACAGGCTATGTTCTGCATCTCGGTCATTTGCCCCCCCTCTAGCTGTTTTCCACTTCTGAGAGTGCAGCGGTGACCACAGGAGCAGGGTAACTCAGAACGCCTGACAGCGAACCTCCCGGTGTCACGTGTTTGCCCTGGTTCCCGTCGGGAGGGACTGCTACCACGTTGAGCAGTCAGCTGCTGAATTGGCACTGAGAGCTGGCCCTGGAAGCCATCTTCCAAGGGAGCACCTGTCCCCGGCCGTGAACTCCTAACAGCTGAGGTAAAAACCACCACCTGCTCTACAGAGAAAGCATGGGAGGCGGCAGAGCTCTACTTCCAAGGAATGAAGACCATCAACAGTGAAGAGGTCTCTGGGACCGGCCCTAAGGCTCCACCACCACTCCCAGAGCTGGCAGACCTTCCCATAAACATGCATCTCCTCATCTCACCCCCTCACTAAGACCAGCCTGTTCTACAAACACACTGTCTAGGGCAGACTCGAGACTGAATCAGCTATGCCCAAGAGGCAGCTCTGTTTGAAGAGTGAACCGCTAAAGTGCTGGAATTTAAATATGAATGCTGGGAATTCGCACTGAGACTCCCACTCCGCCAGCAGGTACTTGTCTCACAGGGTGACCTAAGTGTCCCTTAAAAGACACCAAGCGCCACTCAGCAGTTCAGTGACCCTGAGGACTGCTTTTCTGTCTCAGGAAGGGGGACTCTTGCTGCGTGCCATCTTCTGCCTTTAGTTAAAGTAGAGGTGCCAATCCCAGGACCATGACTTTTTAAAAATGTGGCCCAGTCTAGTCTCAAACTCCCTACGTAGCTAAGAATTGCATTTGACGTCCCTGCCTCTGCCTCTCCAGTGGTGGGACTGCAGTCATGCTCAATAGGTCAGGTTTACACAGATGCAACCAGGGCTTTGAGCACCCTAGGCAAACAACCTACCGGCTCAACTACATCCCTAACTCTTTTTTTTTTATTTTATTTTATGTGCATTGGTGGTTTTGCCTGCATGTCTGCATGAGAGTATCAGATCTTGGAGTTATAGACAGTTGTGAGCTGCCATGTTGGTGATGGGTATTGAACCCTGGTCCTCTGGAAGAACAGTCGGTACTCTTAACCACTGACCCATTTCTCCAGCCCCATCCCTAACTCTTGAACTATGGTTTCTGAAACACCAAAGCATAGGACTTTAACCCTGGCTAATGACCACGTCACAATCACAGCCTCTGATTATGGGAGCCCACTGAGTCCCAGCGACGCCTTCCTGGTCTTTCAGACATACCGTATCTCCTTAGAATTTCAATTCAGCAGCAGCAGAAAGGGTTGTCGATGCTGCCTGGATTTGACACATTTGTGGATGTCACTGAGTCATCCAGCAAATGGCCAACTCTCTCGGGTCATGAAGCCTAGAGTTTTCTTCATATACATCTCTTTTTTTATTTTTATTTTATGTATTTATTATTTTGTTGTTGTTGTTTTTCAGACAGAGTCCCACTCTGTAGCACAGGCTGGCCTGGAACTTACTATGTAGAGCAGGTTAACCTCAAACTCAAGGCAACCCTCCTGCCTCAGCCTCCCAAGTGCTGTGTGTGATTAAACGCATGTACTGCATACCTAGCTAGCTATGCTCTTTTTTTTTTTATTCTTTTGGCTTTCCAAGACAAGATTTCTCTGTGTAGCCCTGTCTGTAGCCTAGGCTGGCCTCGAACTCACAGAGATCCACCTGCCTCTGCCTCTCTAGTGTTGGGATTAAAGGCATGTGACACCATGGCCTGGCCCCAGCTATGCTCTTTAAAAAAAAAATTAATAATAATAATAATAATAAACTGAAGCCCTTAGTGCTGCCTTCCTCCTGCCATCCTGACTGCACATTGTACGCTGGAAACTCAGGCTTCCCACAGTGCTCCCAGGCCCACCTGACCATGGCCCACCTAACCTAGCTCTTAATAACAACACTGGCCCCAACTTACCAGGAGAGGCAGTCCTTGAGGGAGTTGTAGTATGGGAACCGGGACACCACACACACTGCAAAGGGCACAAAGCGTCCAGCCGAGCTCACACTGGGCTCCCAGTGGGTCTTGCCGTTGTAGAAACAATATTCATCCTGGACAAAGAGCAACGGGGACGCGTCACCTCCTGTGCTGACGGTACAGGCCCAGACCAACAACGGTTGGCACCTCTTACGAGAAACATGTAAGGGTCTCCACCAGCTCTGCCCTTCCAATCCATGTAGATGGGTCCTGCAAAAGGGTCGTGCCATGAGGCACTGGGCTTTTTAGGAACAAGGACCAGGCAGTCTCAGCCTGAGGCCTCCAGCCTCGGGATGAACAGGGACATACTACTAGAACACAAAGGCACACACAACACAGCTCTCAGCGACAGACTCCATTCTGGTTGACTTCCAGGTGCCATGAGCATGTCCAAAAGGACCAGCGCCAGGCAGATCTACAACCTGGAATGTGCTGAGGACACATCCAGAGACGGGACAGAAACAACCCGGTAGTCGCTGGGGCTAGGGGGCAGAACTGGGGGCAAGAGCTGGGCAGGTATGAGATGGGAGATGAAAATGTTCTGGAGGTGGCACGCACTGGGAACGCAATGCCTCGGGCTCACACACAACACAATGGCTGAAAAAGCATCAGGTGTGTTGTTACACCACAACAGACAACAAGAAAAAAGGCCCACCCCCAACTCAGAGGACAGCAACAGATCCACCTACATGCAGGGGTCGGTAGTACTGGGCGACCACACCATAGGTTCTGTTCCCGCAGACGTCCGTGAGCACCAGGAAATGGACGTAATCCTCTTTTGGTTCAGAAGCCACACACACACCTCCTACAGGAAGAGCAGAAAGGAAAGGGTGGAGAGCCAGTTCAGGGGGCTGTTGCATGCATCGAAGGCCTAGGGAACCCATGAGCTGATGTCCTAGCAACCACCAGGAGCTCAGATGCTCTTGGGACTGTTCTGGCCAGCTCCCAAACGTCCCCAACCTGCCGTTCTTCGCCATCCCCACCACCACCACCACCACGACACACATGGTATAGCAGTATGAACAGCATGCTTCTGGGCACGGCAGACCAATCCGCACCTGTTTCTCAGTTATGATTCCTGCGGCCAGGGAAGCACCACAGGCTTGAGGGGGAACCAGAGACAGAACCTGAGCCAGCCCTTGGGCTGAGGGTGCCACACCAGCCACTTAATGTGTCTTAAGGCCAGCAGAGGCATGAAGCCCAGACGCACAAGGGCTCTCATCCGGCACTGGTAAGCGAGCTCAGAGATGAATGGCAACCTGTTCCTCTCATTTTAATAAACAGGAAGCAGGGGACGGAGAGGGAGTTGTGGGCGCCCTCTGGGCCTCTCTAGCTTTAACTTCCCCAGATAAGAAGACTGACTTCCAGATAGCCATGAGTGTGTCTGTGATCCCAAAATAGGGAGGCTGAAGCTAGAGGAGTGAGAGTTTTAGCCAGTCTGGACTTTGGAGCAAGATCCTGCCTTAGGACATACTAACTAGGAGAAAAACAAACAAACAAAAAAACAAACTTCAGTCCCATCACCCAACCCTAGAGAAAGTCAAGATCCTGTTGTTGTCCACAGTGTGGATGCCTCTGGAGCAGAGGACTCAGTGAGGAGGCGGTACCTGGCCACCACAGGTTGCTACCGGAGACAGCGTACCTGGGAAGCACAGCTGGGGCAGGGCGAGGAGGTCCACGCCGCCTGGGATAGTAACATCCTCAGAATCAGGCCCCTTTGAGTCTCCAGGGTGGCTCTTCCAGGCTTCCATCCTGGGCTTCTCTCGCTTCTTCCGGAAGGAACGCCTCCTGGCTTTGCTGAGGGTACAGCTGGCCCCAGTCACCTGGCCGTCCTCTTTTGTGGTGAAAGGAGGTACGAAAACGGACAGAACTTCGGGGACAAGGGAAGAGGTGCTATTCACTCCTCGTTTCTGGACAATCTAAGAAAGGGAACAAGAGTCGCTGCGTGTGTAGCTGGGGAGACGGCGTAGAGGGTAAAGCACCTGTGGTGCCAGTATGGGAACTAGAGCTCAGATTCCCAGCACCTGCCTAAAAGATGTCCCACATGTAAGCCCTCAAGAGGCATGGACAGGGAGGGCATCCCTAGGGCAAGCTGGCTAGCCAGAATAAGCGACTTATGACACACACACACACACACACACACACACACACACACACACACACACACGTTAACACAGCTAAAATGCAAAAAGAAAAGTTACTGCGTGTGCCCACCCTCATTTGTGAAACCCCCCTTTCCAGGTGGGCATCTTGTGCACATCTCTGCTTCCCCTCCATGCCCTCGGGCTCCAGAAAAGGAACTCTGTCCCTTGAGGCTCAGGTCAGCAGATGATTCTTTCCGGAATTTTCCAGGCCCTACATGGATGTGCCCCAGAGGCTGAGAATTCAGAGGCAGCTTGTCCTGTTGGCACAACCCACCACAGTGTAGAGCCTGGTTCTGTGATATACAGATAAGAGTTCAAAGGCTGGCTCTGCCCTGAGCCGCTGGAAACAAAACACATTTGCATTTTCCTCTCCCAGATAAGCGCAGCAGACTCCAGGCTCCTGAGGCCATCCTCATGTGAAGTCACAGCTCTGGCAAAGGCAGACAGCTCCCAGCCTCTCGCTCTAGCTCAGATGTCCCAGCCACCTTCCTGCACATCCCCTTAGGATCAGGGATCCCCTTCAAGTGCAAGGCCACACTGCTAGTTTCTAAAATCCCCCATCTTCCACCTACAATTTTTCTTTTCTTTTCTCTGAGCTGTTAAAGAAAGGCTTTTATTTGGGGTGGAAGACAACACACAGCAAAAACACACAGAGAGGAGCAGAGGAGGGCCTCGGGACCTGAAAGCCCCCACCTGCGATTTCTTCAGTGAGGATGAAATAGTCTGGGTTGTTGGAATGTAAGACTCCAAGCCCGTGGACCTTGTGTCCTCCCCTCACCCTACACAAACTCCATCCCTGGTCACCGGCAACTGACTTTGCTGCTCTTCAATGGCCTCACAACTCTCCAACTCTCTGCCCACTGCACCTCCTCACCGGAAAGAACTTCAGCCCTCACACTCATTTACAGGGCAGGAACCAGACGCTGGGCTGTTGCAGAGCCCTACCACCAGAGTGCCCACAGGGTCTGCCCCTAGACCTCCGCTCCAGGCTCACCACCTCCCACCTTCTCGCGAACCTCGACTTCCCAGTGCTTTGGGTTTCTCTGCCCCACCAGTGCCACGCCATCATCTAGGTTTGGAAGGCAAGTCAGGGCATACCTTGCACTTCCCTCTGCCCTCGTGTAGCACAAATGGCTGTCTGGAGATGCTGTCCCTGGGTTTGCACTTCTGGGAATCCCTTGTGCCCTAAGTCAGTCTGGATCGCACAACGCGGCGTCACACCAAAAGCCCATGCCTGGTGTCATTCTCTCTTTAGTCACTTAAAACGGTGGATTCAAAGGCCTGCAGAGATGGCTCAGCTGTTAAGCACACTGGCTGCTGTTTGATTCCCAGAAGTCACGAGTTTGATTCCCAGCACCCACATGGCAACTAACAACCATCTGTAACTCTAGTCCCAGGGGTCTGACACCCTCTTCAGGCCACCTTGAGCACTGTTTACACAACTGGTATACAGACATGCATGCAGGCAAAACACCCATACACATTAAAAAAAATAAACACATCAGAAAAAGATTGAATAATGCGCTTAGTCAGGCACAGTGGCTGTCTTAAATAGGGGTACTGTTGTGATAAAATGCCAAAGGGAGGAATGGGTTTATTTGGATTACACTTCCACATCACAGTTCATCACTGAAGGAAGTCAGGACAGGAATTCAAGCAGGGCAGGAACCTGGAGGCAGGAGCTGATGTAGAAGCCATGGAGGGGTGCTGTTTACTGGCTTGCCCTCACGGCTTAGAACGCAGGACCACCAGCCCAAGGAAGGCACTACCCACAATGGGCTGGGCCCTCCCCCATCAATTGCTAACTTTAAAAAATGCCCTGCAGGCTTGCCTACAGCCTGATCTTATAGAGGCATTTTTTAAATTGAGGTTCCCATCTCTCCAATGACTCTAGATCAGCAGTTCTTGACAAGTTGTTGGGGAGTTGAACAACCCTTCCACAAAGGGTCACATAACACAAATATTTACATTACGATTCATAACAGCAAAATTACAATTATGAAGTAGCAATGAAAATAATTTTATGGTTGGGGTTATCACAACAGGAGGAACTGTGTTAAAGGGTCAAAGCACTAGGAAGGTTGAGAACCGCTGCTCTAGATCATGTCTAGTTGATATTAAGCTAGCCAGAACAGCTAGCTGTTCTGGGGATGAGCTGTGGCTCATCCCTTTAATTCCAGGATCTAGGAGGCAGGTGGATCTCTGTGAGTTCAATGCCAGGCTGTTCTACACAACGAGTACCAGGCCAACCTGAGTTACATAGAGAGATAGTGAGACCCTGTCTCAAAAGAAGAAAAGGAGGAAGAGGAGGAGGAGGAGGAGCTCAAAATCTAGCTTACTGTCTCAGCAGACATCTCACTCACATGGCAAACACTTCTGTCTTTCTGACTAGATTAACAAGACAGTCAAAAAAAAAAAAAAGCAATGAACACAGTGAAGGAAGCACTAGACTAAGAAAGCCTTCTGCATACTACTTCCCTGCATTTTTGACACATACATAAGCTTGGGGCATGCTTTCATCATGTAGCTATCTGATTTGAACTGATGACTTGATGTTTAACTCAGCAGTGGGGCTAGTCGGCTTTCTTCATAGCCATACAGTATTCACCAAGTGAATGTCCAATGATGCATCCACTCAGTCCCTCTGACAGACATCTAGGTCACTGAAAATAGCTCATTATTTGTGGGAGAGACAGCAATGAACAGAGTCCCTGAAACAGTTGCATACATTTGGCTCACCACTCAGAATAAATGCCTGCAAATGGATGGGAGACCTATCCATGAAGAATATACAGGTGGTGATCCCAGCACTCAGGAAGGTAGAGGCAGGAGGATCTCTGAGTTCAAGCACAGACTGGTCTACAAAGCAAGTCCAGGACAGCCAAAGACTACACGGAGAAACCCTATTTCGAGAATGGAAAAAGAAAAAATAGGCAATGTAGGCCATATTGTGACAAGTGTTGAAGCTGTTCTCACTGCAAGGCTGAGAAGACAGGTCAGTGCCACAGGCTATGCCAACCCTGAGCCTGACCTCTGCCAGCCCACACTGAGCCAGACAGAGGGTTATTTCCTGCATTCCTGTTTATTAAACTTCTACCCAATGATCATCAATTTTTTTTAAAAAGCCAATTAAAAAGCGAAACCACCCACAGCCTAACTCACTAATTTCTTTCTAAGTCCTGTTACTCAGCAGCATTGCTCCTCCCTGGAGGACTGCCTATCACGAGAGAAATCAAATACATTCACAAATGTTTTTAATGTTCTGGAGCTGTGCTACCCAACAGTCACAGCAGGAAGCCACTGAAACCTAAATGAATTAAAACTGAGCCTTCAAGATGGCTTAACAATTAAGGGCGCTGGCTGCTCTTCCAGAACACCCAGGTTCAAATCCCATGACCCACATGGTAGCTCACAACCAGCTGGAACTCCAGTCCCAGGGGAATCCAATGTTCTCTTCTGCCCTCGGCAGGCACTGTATGCCTACGATGCATGTACATACACACACACACACACACACACACACACACACATGCATGCATATATAGAGACAAAAATACACATATACATAAAATAAAAGAAAAACTTAAGTATGAGGTTTTTAATTTTTTTTTTTGGTTTGGTTTGGTTTTTTGAGACAGGGTTTCTCTGTGTAGCCCTTGCTGTCCTGGAACTCACTCTATAAACCAGGCTGGCCTCAAACACACAGATCCACCTGCCCCTGCCCACAATTGCTGGGATTAAAGGCATGCAGTAGAGAAATTTTAATCCAGCAAAACATGTCTGAGCCCAAGCCATGCATTCTCACAGCTTGGGTACGGCTCTCCTCTCTCTCAATTCATCAGAGGAAAGAAAAGTTACTTTTACAGCATGCGCCACCACCACCTCGCCAAAAAAAAAAAAAAAAAAAAAAAAAAAAAAAAAAAGTTCCTTAAAAATTAAAATGAAGAATTAAATGTAAACTCCAGTGTCCCCCAGCACAGTAGCGATGCCGCCAGGGTTCCGAGGCCACGTATGGCTAGTGAGCACCGTATTGGACTCTGCAGGTGGAGGGCACGCTCATCATCCAAGAAGTTTTGTTGGTGCTGCTGCCCACAGAGCAGAAGGCCACTTCCCCGGCATGGTGCAGAAACACATCACCCGCCACTGGACGACTTCGCAGTGGATCCCCTCCTAGCCCAGCAACCAAAAAGAGGGATCCATCCTCAGCCAAGGGGTGAGGGGCAACCAGAACCAGCCACGCTGATTCACAGTGGTCTGCTCAGCTCCGTGACACCTGACAAAAACTCCAACAAAGGACTAATCCCCAACCCCATCTCAGAAATAAACAGGGCACTGCGCCTCTTGACCTTAAACTGGAGCTGTCTCACGCTTCCAGACTTCTGCGTTTATGTGTCAGCAGATAGGAATATTCGGACCACGGATAAATGGTAACTGTTTTTTGAAGCAGGCTCTCACGTGGCCCACGCTGGCTTCTGAACTCACTGTGCCACCAAGGCTAGCCTGAGCTCTGTCCTGATCTTCCTGCTTCAGCTTTTCAAGCACTAGGCTCATATGCCCCAAAGGGCTTTTTGTTTGTTTGGTTTTGCTTCTGAAGACAGGCCTCACTCTGTAGGCCAGGCTAGCCTGTCTAGGACTCACTCTGTCACCCAGGCAGCATTCAGACTCACAGCAATCCTCCTACCTCACTCTTCCAAAGGTTGGGGTTCTAGGAACAAGCCACCACACCCAGTTAAATGCCAGTTTTTAAAAAGTTAAATTAAAAAAAATATTTTAAAACCTTGGACATTCAAAAGAGACTTGCTACAAAATTTAGATTAAATAAATCTATGTCTGTATGTCTATGCTAACTGTAACACTGGTGTTGACATAAAGTGAAATTATCCCAAAGTTTAGTCCACCTCTTAACTCTCCTTCTCCCCGCCCCTCCCCCCCAATCCTGGACTTTTATGTTTTTTTCTTCCTCTCTTTGAAATTCCTAGCAGAAGTAAGAGTACAGAATGAGGTAAACTAAAATGAAACTTCCCCCTCCCTCATAACCTGGGGGATGCCAGCGCCTGCCTAATTCAGGAAAGTACCACCACGAATATCCCAGTTGACTCGGCCAGTTCTCAGAGGCATGCCCCACATGGAACAGGCAAGAAGCACACTACAAGACCCAGGAAGCAAAGGCATGGATGCCCAGAAGACGGCAAGTGAAACGAGGTCATTTCCGATTCTAAGAAAAGGAAGGCAGTGCTGTTTGGTAAATCAGAGGTACAAAGACAATGGCGCTCTACAGAGGACACTGGCATTAAAGTTTGGCGGAGTGAGAACTATGGAACACACCAAATCATTTGCTTGGGGACTAATGCCAATTACTGGTCACGCTGGTCCACGGGGAAAAAGAAAAAGAAAAAAAAAAAACTATCTAGGCTTTAACACTCACTTTGGTTACTTTTACTAACGGTTAACTTCTCTGTCACCGTTTGGCCTCCGTTATTAATTGTCCCTGGATAATCATCAACCAATAGGCATGCCTTCATGCTTTTCCGTGTCGTCATGTGTAAACACTCAGATGATCTATCCAGACACTTAACGGGACGCTGGGGAAATCTCTGGAGAAAAAAGACAGTTCCCAGTCATGCTGGGTCAAAAGAGAAAGAGAGGCACCGACGGACAGGGAGGAAACAACCTGGGTTCCAGAACTGAGAAAGAGAAAATACAGCACAGAAATAAGGAGAGTGAGATGTTCAGAAGGCGCTGTCTTTCCAGAGACAGGGAGACGAACCCATTTTGGGCTGCAGGGAGGAGGGGCTGCACAGGAAGCAAACGGCTACGCAGCAAGCCCGACTAAAAGTGGAATATTCAAAGCTGGTGGTTGATTCTAACACCTGAAACCTCCCTAGTCGGTGCGGAGTACCAGACCCATTGCTTGGTAGGCAGTGAAGCTCTGTGCAGCCAACGGAACTACTTAGCCGCTCCTCGGAGAGGATCTGGTCTAGCCGACCATGAACTCCACGGGTCCCCGCTGGGCCAGCACCTCGCCCCAGATGGTGGCATCCTGAGGAACGCTTCAACGCACCAAAGCACATCTTCACCACAACAAGCACTAGTTACAAGTCCAGCTGGTCCCGCCCGGAGAGAGGAGGGTGGGCGCGGAGGGAGGGAACGGCCAGACGCCTGTCTCCCCAGGCCTGAACTTGCGCACATCCCTCACAGCTGGGAGCTGACCCTGAGGCTTTGGCACCGCAGGGGTGCGTAGCCACAGAAGCCAGCTCCACTCACACCCCTCCGGCGCCGCTCCGTCCCCCACCCCGCCTCAGTTTCCCCCTCCGGCTCCTTACCTGCTCCAAGCCGCGTAGGCTGTCCTGAGAGGCGCCTAGGAGCGCGCACAACTCCAACACCCCGGAGGGCAGCGACAGGTGTCTCGCCGCGGGCTCCGCCATGACCTCCCCGCCACCCGCCTGGCACACAGCGCTCGGAGCCCTCGGCTGCATGGCCCCGAACCTGACTCTGATGGCGCCCGCGCCCACAACCCAGACCCCAATCGAGCGCCTCTGAAGCCGGGTCTCGCCGAAGCCCGCCCAAGCCTCCGCGCCTCCCCTGGGCTGGTTGCCAGCGAGCCGCGGAGCGGGCGGGGTCAGGAGGGACCGAAGCGTGTCCACGGGGAGGAGGGGCGTGGTCGGTGGGCTCCGGTGTGGGTGGGGCCTAGGGGGCGGGGCCCGTAGTGCATGAACGAGCCTTGTCTGTGATTTGGCAGGGGGCGGACTTCTCTGGAGGCCAAACCTGCATGGGTGGGACCTCCTCGGGGGGCGGGACCCACTCTGCCTCCCTACGAGCGCAGTCAGTTCCTAGCCGGACGGTGGGTCCGGCGCGTGCGCGTGCCCCTCTGTGGACTTGGTCCCTCCTTCTGTCCCCTGGAATACAGGAAGGAATGGGCGACAACCTCAGGTGCCCAGCCACGTCATCCAGCCCCGGAGGCCCTTCTCCAGCCGTCCAGACCCACCCTGCAAAGAGTAAGGGACAAAGGCCTGGCCTCCCGCCACCTCCAGGAAGTTCTTCTGTGCCAGGACACGGATAGGACCCTGTGGACACCTGGAAGAACCGTCGGGAAAGGAGTGTAAAGATCTGCTCCTGATCTTTAAAAGCTGCACGGTTAACCTCAGGCCGTCGCAGGAGCCTGGTTTAAATTGAGCAGGAAATGGGGCAAGGCGGAAGATGCTGGAGGGAGCAGGGTCAGGGGCCTGTAGGCTCTCTTAGGTCTAACCTAGGTCTGACCTCTGTTAACCCTGAGCCTCCTCCAGCCTTAAACTAGATTCAGAGCAAAGCCCAGCCTGTCTGCCTGGGCAGCGTGGTGCCTTGGCTTTGGAAAGGGTCATGGTCCAGTATGGGCCTTGCCCTGGGCATATTTAAATCTAAGGGGAAAGGAGACCGAGGGACTTTTCCAGAAATTTTCTGTATTATATAGTATTAATATTACATGTTTATAGTAGCATATAATATACATCTTAAAACACTGAAGAAATGATTACCAGTGATGTCAAATATCTGTCATCAGCCTAAAGTGAAGGACCAATAACTGAACAAGTCTTGGGAGCAAAGCCTGGTAGGCTGGCTGGAGGTGGGGGCAGGGAACAGGGTTCGGAAGTAGTTTAACCATCCTGTAGACTGCCTGACCTCTGTGGCCCTCATTCCTCATCCAGGAACCCAAACGACCTATTAATGTCACTGACATTAAGGTTTTGCTCCTGCTTAATCTGACTCTTTGCACCAGCTTCTCATGTCAGATGACCTCCACGAAGCATAAGCCTGAGAGAGTGCAGCCTCACTGAGATCCATTATCAGTCCTGGGCTGCTCAGCAAAGAATCAAAATCTTGAGTTTGCAGGGTCCTGTCTGGAGTCTGGACTCTGCTACTGTCTCTCTCTCTCTCTCTCTCTCTCTCTCTCTCTCTCTCTCTCTGTGTGTGTGTGTGTGTGTGTGTGTGTGTGTGTGTGTGTGTGAGTGATGTGTGAGTGGTGGACAGTCCCAGCATCTTTGAGCCTCTGCTTCCTGTTTGTGGAAACCCTGCAGGGTGGAGACCAGGATTCAGTTGGCAGAGACCCTGTAATGCTCAGGTCAGAAGCAGGTCTGATGTCTGTCCTGTTTCCTCCAAAGGGTGGAAGGATTTGAGGAGGGAAGCTCCACAACAGGGTGGAAAGCCCAGGGCCAGACCCCCTGTAGGCCTCCCTCATCTGAGAGTCCAGCCACAAAATCCCTGGGGCCCCAGCTCTGTGCTTTTTTTTAATTAAATCCCCATAGGACCAGTGGTCTGCTCCTGTAATGACAACAATCTGGAGGTGGGCAGAGGATCATAAATGAATTTCAGGCAGCACAGAAAGATCCTGCCTAACTAAAAATAAAAAATAAACAAAAGTCCCCATGGCCCAGGCTGCAGGTACTTTCCAAATACCCACAAGAAACCTGCTGTAGGGCTAAGGCTGTGGCAAAACAAAAATTGTGGCTCTGTGGTAAAGCCCTTGCTTAGCATGTACCAGCACCACAAAACAAGAGTCCCCTTCCATCCCCAGGTACTTCAGGACACACAAGTTATGGTGGCATACTAGATAGAAACAGGTCTGAAAATAGCCTAGAAATGACATTAAGAAACTTCATTCACAGCCAGGCTGTGATGACACACATCTTTAAAGCCAGCATTTGAGAGGCAGAAGCAGGTGAATCTCTTGAGTTTGAGGCTAGTCTGGTCTACAGATTGAGTTCCAGGACAGCCAAAGCTACACAGAAACCCTGTTTTGTTTTGTTTTGTTTTTTTTAAAAAAAAAAAAAAGCAAAACAAAACAACAAAAAAAACCCTCCAATCACAGCCAGATATGAATGTGCACACCTTTAATCCAGCACTCAGGGAGGCAGAGGCAGGCAGTTTTCTGAAGTTGAGGTCATTCTGGTCTAAGTAGTGAGTTCCAGGCCAGCCAAGGCTACATACTGAGAGCTTACCTCAAGAAGACAAAGAAAGAAACTTATTATCCAATTATCTAAATGAAAAGTTTTTATGCGTCAAAGATACTGAGGGGAGAGTGCAAAAGAGTTTCTCCTAGACTGAGAGAAAATGTTTTGCAGTCATTCTGAGGCAGGATAGAGACACAGAGGAAACTGTTAACATGAGAAAAGAAAGGAGCCAACAGAAAAGCAGGAATTCTAGTATAAGCAACTGCTAGAAACCTCGCTCCTTTCCCAGCTGCAAACCTGAAACTTTCTAAGAATCTCACCAGAAACTGAATGGATAGGCTTGGGAACTGTGAGTCTGCAACCCTAGTGCTTCCTGGTTTCACTTTATCAGACTATAACTCCATCCAGCACATCCACAGAGCCACCGCCTACTTCACCCAGCAAAGGGAAGAGAAAGGGGTTCTTAGCCATCTTTTGACATGTAACCTGAGAGCCACCAAAATGTACCACATAGCCAAAGCTAAGACAAACAATCGTGACTCACTTGCGCCTGTATCTCCATGAGGTGGGTCTTGATTTTCCTTCTTTCTCTGAGGCCAGACCCGTGCTCTTGGGCATGTCTCTTCTTTTGGAGCACCTCTCCTAACTCTCGTGCTTAAGCCTGTATTAAAGTGTCCTTGTTTATGACATACTTATTTTAGTCAGGAGGTGGATGGCATACACCTTTAATCCCTACACTGGGGAGGCACAGGCAAATGGATCTCTGTGAGTTCAAAGCCAGCCTGGCCTACATAGTGAGTTCCAGGACAGTCAGAACTACTTACTTACTTTGGGGCTCAGAAGTTAAGGACACACACTGTTCTTCCAGAGGATAAGAGTTCAGTCCCCAGCAGTTACAGCAAATAGCTCATAAGTGACTCTAGCTCTAGGGTATCCAATTCCCCTGGCCTCTGTGGGCAGCTGCACCCACAAGCACACACCTACACATAGACATACACATAAGTAAAAATAATAAAGATTACGTCTTAAATGTTTTCTTAAATATATTTATTTATTTTTATGTATATGAGTGCTCTATCTGCATGGATACCTGCAGGCCAGAAGAGGGATGATCACATTGTAGATGGTTGTGAGCCACCATGTGGTTGCTGGGAATCGAACTCAGGACCTCTAGAAGAACAGACAATGCTCTTATAACCACTGAGCCATCTTTCTAGCCCTAATATTAAAATATCACTGCTGGGCAGTTGTCGTGAAAATTTTGGTTTATGATATGTAAACATGTTTTTGTTTTAATCCCAAGGGTAGGATATGAGACTGATTCAGATTGTCCATAGCAGCAAACTATTTGCCTCATGAGGGCTCTGAGAGGGGTTCTTTGCCAGCTGCAGATAGCTTGAATCTGAGGACTCTCAGAGGGAATAAAGGCCAAAGACCAGAGTGAGAAAGGGGGCTCCGAGAGAGAAGGAAGCTGCTGCTGCTGCTTCCCCATTGCTGCTCCTGGTTGCTGTTGACGCAGCAGGATGAGCAGAAGTTGGAGATCTCCTGAAAAGAGATCGGACTTGCCCCAAGGAACCCACCAACCCTAAGCAGCAGGAAGTAACTAAGGAAAAGTACACACCCTCTTCCCGTTAACCTTCTTTCTCTACGACGTGGTGTTGTGGGATTGGAAAGGATTGGGGTGGAGAAGGGGGTAAGAGGCATAAGAAACATAAATGAAATAGTTCTAAAAGGTAATAGCAACAGGCAGCATGCCCTTAATCCCAGCACTAGAGACGCAGAGACAGGTGGATCTCTGTAAGTCTGAGCCCAGCTTGCTCTACAGAGTTCCAGGACAGAAAAAGCTACACAGAGAAACTCCCATTTTTAAAAACATAAATAAATTAATTAAAATAAAATAAATCACTAAGGGAGGAATCACTATGGAAGGAAAAATAAAATATATCTAATAAAATAAAATCCTTAGTAGTTTCATCATAAACTGACTAGGATACAAACTGCAATTTGGCCTGACTCAAAAGTCTGGGGCAGGTGGTCCTCAGGCTGTTGAGGGCAGCAGTGTGGTGCCATGCTTCTGTCCCTCACTGCTAAGCCTATATCTGGGAAGAAATCCATGTTTAGATTATATAAAGAATTCCAAGGACCTGAACAGACATTTCTGTGACACACACACATGCATTGGAGACCAGCAGTGATGGGCAGTCTGCTCTAGCCTTCCATTCCTTAGGGGACAAAATACTTCTCTCAAAGTTGGACTTTTTAGTTCGATTTGGGAAAAGGGGCGGAGGCTAGAATCCTGGAACTCAGTATATGCTAGGCCAGCACTCTAGCATTGAGCCACACTCTGCCGAAGCATTTTGGATAAGGAATACAACCTTTATTATAGTTTTTTCCCCCCCATGATTAGAAGTTTTATTTTTAAAAAATGTATTTATTTAGGCAGACATGGTGTGGCTCATGCTTTTAACCCTAGTACTTGGGAGGCAGTGAGAGGAAGATGGCTGTGAACGTTACCCAGCTTACATTTATTCCTGATGGCACCCGGCCCCAAATGGCATGCAGAAATGGGTGCACCATGCTAGGATACAAATAAGACAATACAGGTAAGCCAGGTGTGGTGACACACTCCTGTAATCCCAGCACTCAGGGAGGCAGAGACAGGTGGATTGCTGTGAGTTTGAGGCCAGCC